TGGTAAGAAAACGGCCATTGATTCTCTAGAAAAGAAAGTCAGTAACATCCAAGCCGAGCTTGAGCCTTCTGAACAAATGCAACTTGAATCGGAGCTATCTGAACTCGCTTCGAATAAAACATTTGACCAGTTGAAACGAAAAATGCAATAAAAAACAATAGAGATTTAAAAAATACACAATCTAATAAACACTTATTAGATTTTGTATTTTAATACAATACTAAAATAACAAATATACTATCGTCACGTTATAGACCGAACAACCACCTGGCACCGAGCTTATCGCTCCAAGCGCAATAGGTGGTGAGCCTGTCGCCGGACATCGTGATTCATTTATTTCGCGTGCATTCCATGAAACGGGACGTCCGGCCTTCAGCGTGACGGTTGGGGACACTAGCGCAGAGTGCGTCGACCCGGTTGAATGGCAATCGAGCGAAATGTACATAAACGGAAGGGGCCCACGTCCGTGAGCGGAGTCCCACGCCCACGCGTGGCTATCGGTGCACTTGCATTACTCAAAGTCAGCGCACGGTGGGCAGACATTTCTAAAAGTTGCGAGAACTTTGCCCAAATTCTTGTCTAAACTAAAACGAAACTGTGGGCTGTATTTATTTATTTATGCTTTATTGCTAACCTTGAATAAAAAATATAACAAAGGGTGAACTAAACGCCTAAATGCATTCCCTACCAGTCAACTCAGTGTGTAGTGAGAGTTTATGGTAGTTGTAGCAAGAGATGCAAAAGTTACAAATTGTTATTAGTACGAAAATAAAGATAAGATAAATGCAAATAAATATAAGGGTTATAATTATATAAACTAACATTTCAGATTTTACAAAATATTGACATAAAAAAAATATATTTATATTATGTAAAAAAAAATACAGTGCCGAACTAGCGTATAAATAATACGTATTCGAAATCTCATTATAATCCATTCAGCTGTTGCGGTGTGAAATAGGACATGAATAATGTGCGAATGGAACGAGTCGATTGGCGCAGTCGCTAAATTATTGGCATCGGCGCCGTGAGTATTAGGTTCGAAAGAGCAACTATTAATTGACAAATAATAGGAAAAGAAATACGGGACTATATGCGTAAACAGTTCCTTAAATTTAGGAATACCCCGACGTGAATATTGTTTCACTTCTTTAGAAGGAAATTATAGTAAACAATACCTAGTAAATTAACTGCCCTTAACACTTGTAAAACAATGGTATTTAAATTGTTGTATAAGTCAACGAACCATGGACGAATTTATAAGCACCCTGCATGCGTTGTAATTGCTATGTGTACTAAATAATAGTTTAACTGTATAAAAAATTGTTACCATAATAACTATACAGCGTGTCTTTACCGTCGCGACAATAAATAATTAATAAATTCTTAATAATTTGTTTTCTTTTCTTAAGTAATTTTCAATGAACTACATTAAAATGAATCCAGCAGTTCTGGGAAACAAAACAATGGAATGGGTGAAAGAAAATATCTATCAATTAATAGAATTGCGATGGTCATTGGCTGTTTCGTGTGAAAATGAAATCACGAATAAGCCTAAATAGAAGAAATGACTGATACAGAAACGCGAACATAAACTTTTTTAAATAGCGCAAATTATCAGTCCGCTCTGAGAATAACAACAATTCGTTTTATCAACGGGAAAGGTGATAAAAAATATTATTAAAGCAAGTGGATTACAGTTTTCTAGATAGTAATGTTTTGTCAGAGATAATCACGTCACGAGCGACAAAATCACAAAGGGGAACAAATGCAATCTAAATGCGATTTTAATTTACGTTTAAAAACATCCAATGAGTGTCGTTAATAAAAATAAACATAATAATTGTATAGCATTCCTGTTAAATAGCTTAAAAGTGCCATCAATAAAGATAAAAAAATGATTATTTATTTGTGTAGCATTCCTGTAATAAATAAAATATTTAATATTTGTCTAAGGACTATTCCGATAAACGACGATGATGACACGAATATTTTCGGTAAAATTGATTTAAAATGATAGTAGCGTCACTGTCAAAGATTAGATGAAAACAGTTAATTTTTAGGTCCATTCAATAAAGGCTAGGATCCAAGCACAGTCATGAAAGTCCACCATATCCCTTCAACATTTCGCAAACGTACACCAGTTCTATAAAGATCCGGTAAGGAACACTAGTTGATTATTGTATTTTAACTACTCGTATATAATCTACATTCCGAAAACAGCTACCAAAAATCAACATCTACGAAGCGGAATGATCTTTTCATAATAATTCTCTACTAAGAAAATAGCTTTCCAGTCTAAACTTTTAAGTAAAAATAGGGGGCCTGCACTCCTGCAGACACCAAAAGGATTTACAGCCCATCGTTTGAGGAGGTAGCGGCTAGCGATAATCATCGGAACCACAATCGACGTCATTGGTAAACAGAAGATATAAGTCAAGAAGACCACAGCCCGACTCTTACCCAAACTTCTCAAACATCCCAAATACAAAACATACTCTCGGCGCGTACAGAGAGGGAAATTTCAATAATTTAGCGCCGCGGCCATGTTGATAAATTTAAAATTCTAATTATCACAGTTATTATTCGCTGCGAACAGACACGCTCGGTTGATCGATGCAAGAAAACCAGGTGTGGAGTAGTAACCGATAATTCTTAATCATTAGAAACTATTTATATTTTGGATCTTTTGGACACATTTTTACACAACATTCTCTAGTCCCAAACTATGCAACACTTGTACTATGGGTACTAGAAAACTGATAAACATTAAGTATGTTAATAAACTTTTCTTTTGTAAATAAATACATATTATACATATATAAACACCCAGACACTAGGAAAACACTATGTTCATCACACAATATTTTTCCAGTAGTGGGGATCGAACCCACATTAATCTAAGGAATACTAAAACCGGCCAAGTGCGAGTCGGACTCGCGCACGAACGGTTCCGTAACATTATCTATAAAAACGGCAAAAAAATTATGTCTTTTGTGAGCCACTTAAATATTTATTTATTCTGCTCTTAATACTTTATGTTATAGTAGCAATAGCATTGTCAACTATAACGGATACAGTATGGTGACAAACAGACAGACTGACAGACAGACAGACAGCGAAGCCTTAGTATTAGGGGAACCCTACCTGTTTTACCCTTTGGGTACGGAATACTAAAAGGGTGCTGTTTATTATTGTTATCTGTGTATTTGTGCCATGTATATCTCTACTTGAGTAAGCACACAATGTTATCATTTTTCTGTTGTAAAAGGGGTCTAAAAGGGTTGTATCGATACCGAGAAAATTAAAAAAAAAAAGTTATGATCGTCGAGTAAACGGAAGATTGAGGCTTGCTATCAATAAAAGATATGAGAATGAAGAAGTAACCACAGTAATGAATCATCGTTTGCACGAAGAAATTATTAATATTATAGGATATGACCTTGATCGTCGCTTTCGGTAAATAATCAGTCACTAACAAACGTAGCGACCAAATAATATCTACAGATATTTATTCGGGTTCAAAACAGAGAATTGTTCCCTTGTTAGAGCAAAATGTGAATGTAGATCGGATTATGGTCTTCATAACCAGGGGAAGTAAGAATTAAATAACGACCAAAGTGAGCGCAAAGATACAAAAAAATTATGTTTACAATTTACTAGTTGCAATTTCGTGTTATAACCGTATTTATACCAATCCAGTATTCAAAAAGCTTGTACAATATTTGAACTACTTCCTGGCATCCCCAATGCGTTTTTATGGTAAAAGTTATGCAATCAAATCTTTTAGTGAGAAACCTTTACGATAATAAAAAATATTTACTCTAGATTTCTAGTTTTATGTATTGATATCATAACGAGAGTTAAGGCCCATTTACACGGTGCAAGTTTCTTGCCTGTTATATACAATTAAATTGAAGCAATAAATGAGTTGCATTGTCTAAACAGCACATAACATTCTTGACTGTTGAACAAGACTTGCTTCAAGTTTTGTTTCAAAACTTTCCTTGGTGTAAACAGCACACACAATAATTTCTTAAGCAATTCTTGTATTCAATTGCATTCTCTCTTCCTTTGCAAAAATTAGTGCAATGAGTGACGGTATTTAATCATTGCTGTTCTTTTGAAGATAGAAATATTGAGAAAAGGTCGTAAAAAAAGTTTGGATAAAAATATGAATAATAATATATGGATCATAATAAATAAATCTCAATGAAATATATTTAATCGGCATAATCTAACTTGAACACTTATTATTGAGCCATTTTTAAAAAAAACAGCTATTTGTAAAACGTTCAACACTTGCATGAAAAATTTGTCAACGCAAATACGTGCAATGAAGCAACACGCCAATAAATTGTACACGCACATACAAGCATGTGTTTAGACAAGTCAAAACTTGAAAGCAATAATCGCCTAAACATAATTGCATTGGTGTAAACAAAAGACCTTTGCAATTATTTCCTGTCAAGACTTGCATTCAATAATCGCATTCATTTTTTTTTACTATATCTGCGTGTAAACTGTTGCTTACAATTCTTGATGGTCAATTATTGCGTGCAACTTATTGCATTCAATTATTGCTCTTGTATGTACAAGAAAATGGCATCGTGTAAATGGGCCTTTACATTAGAAAATACCAGCAGAATCCGACCGGATAACTTATGAAAGGAAAAGAAGATGAATCACTGCAGTTATTACCAATAAAGTGAGAAGAACGTTTTTTTTTTTCATCTTTTCTTCAAACCTTATTCATTCCAATAATTATCATAATTTCATCAGTTCATCGAAATAGAATTTGATTTACTACAACGCCATCTGGTAACGACTTACAGCACACGGGATAGCAAAACCTGAACCATTTAAAAATGCCTATACGTTATCATGGCGATATGTGAAACGATAATAACTTTTTGTGCGTTCAAAAATACAAATATCAATCAAATCGAAAGGGACACTTATAAATATTAAAAGATTAAAATATAAGTATAAAGTCTTACCTCTAGATCGTTCTTGGCGTGGTTCAGTTTCTCCAGATGCATCCGCAAAGCGTCCACCGTTGTGACCGCCTCGTCCTTGATGTCATTCTTGTCAAGGAGTGCTTTGATCTTCTCCACCAGCTGGCAGAAGTCCTTCCAGATCTCCAAGTCCTGTTCCAGCTGCGCTTGGCGCGACTTGGCCGAGTTCAGCGTGTTCTTCAGAAGCTGGTTGTGCTTCTGGTGGTCTTTGGAGAGCTCTTCCTGCTCGGAGGCGGTCAGAGACGGCCAGATCTTGTCCACGACGTCCTGCATCTTCTTGCCGACCAAGTCTTTCATCTCCGGCTCGGACGCGTTGAAGAACGATTTGTGCTCCTCCAGGTCGGACTCGATGTTCTCGAAGTCTGTGCCATTTTTGCCCATGTCCAGCCTGATGCCCGCTTCGTTCACCCAAATGTTCAGCTTTTCTACCATCTGGATGTACTGCTGCCTGTACTTTTTGTTGTCTTTCAGATGTTTCTCCCTGTTGGCCAGTTCGGCGGGCAAGGACGTCTTAAGGGAGTTGCCCTCTGAGACCATTTCGAGGAGGGAGCCGGGCACGCCGTCGTCGCCCTTAATGACGTCACTGATCTTCGTGAACTTGTCGAGATAAGACTGTACGTTCTTCGCTAGGGTTGCATGTTCGACCAGCGTCTTGTCGACGCTCGCCACGTCTCTGTTCAACAGCGGACGCGAATGTACAGCAGTCTCGTTGTCGTGAAGCCATTGCAGTATTTCTGAAAGGTCTGCGGCGAGTTTCTTATGTTCGGCCGCGGCCCTCTCGTGCTCCTGCCTCTTCGACTCGACGGTCCTCCTTAGCGTTAGGAGTTGCTGTTTCAACGACTGCAACAGCTCCGTAATGTTATTCCGGTCGATGACAGTGCCTTCGGCGGCGATTTGCTGGCCTTTGTCCGTCGCAGTGGCTAGGAGCGCCTCGCACCCTTGGATCTTCACAATGATGTCATCGTAGCGCTTGATCTTGTCCTCCAGCGAGTCGCTCGACCTTTCGATTTCGGCGGTGACGTCGGTGTATTTCGCAACGAACTCCTCTATTTCCTTCACGAGGGCGAAGAACTGCTCCCGCAGTAGCAAGAGCTGCTTGAGCTTCGATATCTGATCTTCGATGGTGCTCATTAAGTCGTCCTGTTGGGTGAGTATGTCTTGTAGGTCGTGCAAGTTGCCTCCCTGCAGTTCGTTAAGCATCGACTTGTTCTTCTTGAGATCGGCGAGGATGGATTCGTACGCTTGGATAATTGGTTGCACGTCCTCGACTTTACTACCTATCGGCTTGTTGAGAGCCTTCAGTTTGTTCTGGATCTCGTTCAAGAATTCGAGGGCAGCAGCGATCTTAGCGGCGGCGTCTTTGTACTCTTTAATGTGTTTGATCAAGATGTTCTTCTTGTCGTTTATGATGGCATTAATCCTGGCGAATTTGTCGGATAGGACGTTCACTTGTTCCTTGAGTTGAAGCTTATTCGAGTCGGACAACGTGTCCATGATGTCCTTTGATTTGTCCTTGATTTTCGTGATGTTCTTCTCAACGTCTTCGGCTTCTTTGCTAAGTTTTTCAAACTTAGCCAGCTGCTCTTCTAAGAGCTGTAGACTGGTAGTGCGGAGCTCAGGAGTGGCTGCCACTTCGGCCTCGTTCAACCAGCTCTGGCATTTTGCTACATCATTCTCAAATTCATTCCTGCCTTGTAGTAATTTATTTAATGCCGCAAGCTTGTCGTCAATGTCCACTTTAGCTGATGTATAAGACTTGTTCAGACCTTCCAAGACACCTTGCAACTTCGCTCGATCTTCGGCCGAGCAGTCTTTGGTCACTGCATTACCTTGACGAATAACTTCAGACAGAGTATCATTATGGAAATCTGCTAGCTCACTTTGGTGTTTCTTGTGAACAGCAATTTCTTTCTCCACCTTAGCGACCTCCAACGGGACGGGCCCTCCGAGCTTTTTGATTTCGGCTAATTTAGATTTGAGCCAATTCTTCGCCTTTTCAATGTCATTCTCTAACTTCTTCCTCACTTCAGCGCATCCACTTAACCTTTCGATCTCCTGTTTGATGAGGGAGGCGAGCTGTTTCTGTTTGGAAGCGAGTTCAGATAGCTCCGATTCAAGTTGCATTTGTTCAGAAGGCTCAAGCTCAGCTTGGATGTTGCTGACTTTCTTTTCTAGTGAATCAATGACCGTTTTCTTACCATCGGTCTCTTTCAATAGGTTCGCAATCTTCTTTTGTCTGTCTTTTACCGCCTTACTCTCGTATCCCAGGGGTTCTGGATGGTGAATGTTATCGATTTCCTTTTGTAACCATTCATTCTGAGCGTTGACTTCGCTTTTAGTTCCGTCGATAGCTTTATATGTGATCTCCAGCATCTGTAGCTTGCGCTGAATTCTTTTAGCAATGTCGTTGTATCTCCTCTCGACAGATTTCATCTGAAACAAATTTTTCATTAGTTACAAGTTCAGTTACTTGTTTATATTTAAACCAATATTTTTAACTGCTAGTTTAGTTAATTTTGAAAGTGAGCTTTTAAAACCTAATCTAAGTACATTATCAATGCAAATACTCACTTGTTCTTCTACTTGCTGTGACTCCAAGTTACTAACAATGTTGATCACTTGCGAACCAACCGTCTTAATATTGTCGACTTTATCTTTGCCTGCTTGGCCAAACTCAGACGATAGCTCTTTCAAAGCGCTTAGTTTCTGTGGGCACGGAAGTCCAGACCCCTTGTCTGCGAGACACATCTTCTTCAAAACAGAGTCGAACCAGTCGTGGATCTCCTGGCATTTATGACGGAAGTCGTCAATAATGCCTTGGTTAGACTTTTCTCTTTCGATGGCTCGAAGGATTGTTTTCTCGAGGCTGTCTAATTCTTCCTCTAGGTTGATTTCATCTTCCAAACCTGTGAGTTTATGTTTTAATTTAGTTTATGTTTTCATTTTTTCAACATATTTGAATTCATAAATATTAGTGAAAAGATGCATTATGTATATTCATTAACTCATATTTTTAATGTTCAATAAAACCTTAAAAATATTTAAATGCCCTATTTAAAAAAAGGGTTGTAACTTTTATAAATACACAGATTCTAATAAATCTTGCGGCTTATGATGATAATGCGAAGTGAAATCAGCATTGCTACAATATTTATGTTTTGGAACACGTTGCGGGCATTTTGCCAAAGCATACGCTCGCACTGTATTATTAATTTACCTTAGATACATATTTTTAGGTTAAATATATGTGGAAGTCAAATAAATATTATTATAACTACTGTTTTAAAATATTTTTTCCTTTTCTTTATGTTAACATTTTATTTTCTGTGTTTTTATTTTTGTAATTTTAATGTTTAACTTTTCTATCATTATAATAAGGTGACGGAATAAATGTCTTTAAGGTCTTTAAATGTCTTTAAAAAGTAAAAAGTAAAAGTATGATTATTCCCACCCAAATATTTTCCATGTAATTTACTCCTTTACAAGGAGGAAATAGATACTATGAGAATTTTAAAAATCCCCCATGAACACGCGGTTAGCACCGCAAAAAGTAGAAATCGGAGTCACATCTATATATTAAAGGGGGAAGCGAAAATCTTTTTTCCATTTTAATATATTGCGCGCACAGAAGAGCGTGCGATTTGGCACAGTTACATAGATTAATATAAAACATACGATTCATGTGGTCGTGATACATCTGATGTCAAACGGTAGAACAGAGTGAACCTTATCGCCAAAGAATTTTACAATGTCTGATGAATGAATGAGTCAGAGAAAAATAATAACAGTTGAGAATTAAGGTCGATTTTATACCGATGGGCGACTACTTTATGAAAGTGGTCTAGAAGAGGTCAGAACTTCTTTGGTCAATGCCAATGGGATTTGTAAAACTTACCTTCTGTGGGTATTTCAGTCAGCAGTCTATTTCTTTTTTCGGCCAACGAAGCTAAGGCGTCGTTCATAGCGGCCATGTCGTTTTTGGCCGCCTCTGGTCTGAGCTTGGACGGATTAGACAGCCAGTCGTGGGCCAAGGCCTTGTGGACGTTTATCCATTCCTGGATCTCCAGGACTTGCTTCATGGCCTCCTCCATTCCGTGGACGGCGTCACCGAGGGTCTCCAAATGGCTTTGCACCTAAATCGAGACCGCGATTTAGCAATAGCCACACACTATGGATGAAATGAAAGGTGCTCGGTGGCTGATAGCTTTTATGCAGGTGTTTCGTGAAGCTTGTGGATTTAACTGTGCATTGCGGAATGTGAAGGCACTCACTGAATAATTTCGGGCCCTTTCTTCCTTTTCCTACGTATTTCATTAATCATTACACCAATATTTCATAGTAACTCAGTTTGCATTGTGAATTTTCTAATTTATTAATAGAATCATAAGATTTTATAGGACGTAAAGGTTGATAGACCTTTTCGTCCAGGTGACCATTTCCTTGGACGAAAAATTGTCGTATTAACATTTTATGATTTTTTCTAAATTGTCCTTTTAGAAAGACTACTGTAGCACACATTACCCTTTTTATATAGACCCAATAACAATTTACAAAATGTCGGTCTAGCCGAAGGGTTATGATGGAAAATTGTCCTAGAATTGACACTGTACACACTGCTATCAGTAGTATTTACAGCCCCTCCCACGTCTACCTCAACCGTTCCGCACTCCGGGACCGGTGCAGCGTGCGCAAGCCTTACCTTGCTCTCGAACGAGACCATTTTCTCGGAGAACTCCGGCGCTTCGAGGCTCTTAAGCAACACATCGACACGCGGCGCACCGGACACCTCGCCAATGCGTTTCTACGGACACACCACACACCACATGCTAACGGCAAGGAAACGGCAACGCGACAAGTCCGTGCGGTTTAGTATGGACAATAGCGACGGGCGACGCGGGACAGGGGGCGGCAGACTTCGGGATCGATGTGGAGGAATTATAATACAATTCCGGCCTGCTATTCGAGACTTAGCAAGCGAGAGACTAGAAATTTTGCAACTTAAAGGCTAAACTCTTGACAACTCTGATTGATATGAAAGGCTGGTTTAAAGAGTCTATTTTACTGGTTATGTATTATTGGTAAACCAGATAAATAATATAATCAAGACAACAAAAGTTTCATGCATAACTACTGTCCATTCATGTCATCGGAATTTAAAATTGTATCCCCAGTTTTCTTACGAAACGGTTTCATTTTATTTTCTACATAATGAAAACCGGCAGCAGTTCCAGAACCTTTAAAAGTACTTTCTTATATTTATCACAAATATGTAATAAACTATTCCCTGTCGCCTCTGCTCCCTGTCCCACGATTACCATCGGTGTGTTAATGCAAATGGAGTGGATATCACACAGTGCTAGTGTTTGGATGAAACAACTCTTCTGCTCCGCACTCCATTCTGCTGTGCCACTCAATGATGCAGAAAAGATGGACCGAGCGGAGCCAATTCAGAAAGCTATCTATATTCTTACTTTAGTATTGGTACGGCGTGTCAAGTGACAAGACAGTATTGAGTATAGTAATCGAATAATGGTCGTATTTTGTGTTTCCTGAAAGTGCTCTAGAATAGACAAGCTTGAGAGTGACCAACACTTCGGTAATTTTAATTCGAATTATAACCATCAACATAGTCCTGCCCTTATCCCTCCTAGATGGGTTCGGTGCATCATGTGAATTATGTTTTAGCGGCTTCGGCTATATTTTTTACGACCGGCCGCTTGCCTAACGTCAACCCTCCTTGGGAAACAACCACCCAGATCCGGAACAATTACCTGTAGGTCACACAAAAACTTGTCCCGGATGGGAATTGAACTCACGACTCCGATTGAATCGTACTTCATGAAATATATTATAAACAACAACCACGTCCGTCGTTTTCGGGGATGATGGCCTTTGTTCAATCTTCAATCTTTTAAAGATTCTTTTTTTATAAATACTAGACTAGATACTGTCACTTACGCATTCCAAAAAAAAATTTTACCAGCAATACCAGCTAATCGTAATTGGCTGCACTCAGTTCAAAATCTCTTCACAAAATTAAAGCAGAACGTTCAAGTAGAAAATGAAACATCCCGCTTCAATAAAACACGAGATCAAATCAATACCAGGCGCAAAAAACACATTTCCAACGATGAAGCCTGTACATTTGTTCCCGTCGTCTAACTACACTATTTACAATCTATCTACCACCTCCTCGAGCTATATGTACAAGAAACAATAACAAGTTCTTACTTTATTACTTTACAGTATACTAACTCGTTGGTTCTGTTCTTTTTCGGACCTGGCAAGCTTAAAGCTTATAAACAGCAGAAATTATTATTATCATATTAAGTTAGACATTAAGTACATTTTGAAGTAAAGGTATCATATAAGTAAAAAGTAAACAACATACTACGGCAAAAATCTTATTTAAAAATTAACTCCTGTAAACAAGTTCTTTCATATTCTCTCTATACTTTGGTTGAATTATTTTTTAGTTACATAAACCAGATGTATGTTTTTAAAATCAATTATAAAATACTCAATCAGAACTCATCGAATAATATAAATTTATGTTAAAGACAACAGCGAAAACAACATAAACACGATCGAACACATTCACACTGAATTCAATACATGCTCTCGGTATCATGTCCAGACGGGTTCCATTTGGCGAAGTCAATTGATAGCTCAAAATTAAACATTTCGCACAAACAGTAATAATATATAACATGTGCATCGATAAGAAACGCGAAAGATCGAAATACAGACGTTTACATTGAGCATTAATTAGAACAAAGTGAATCGAAATCGTACAAGTACACGCAAAGATCGCGAGAGCATCGAAAGATCGGAACCCACTCGGAACCCGCGGACCGTGCACGCGCGCACAGACGAACGGGCACGCACGCACGCACACGTATAAGCAAATGCAAACGCGATAGCGTCAAAAGATCGAAGACAAGTCTCCCCTCGGAAGCCGCGGAACGTGCACGCACACACGCACACACGCGCACGCACGCACGCACGCACGCACGCACGCAGTCAGTCGGAGGAGCGGGCCGTTACCTGGTCTATGAGGTCCTCGAGGCGGGCGCGCGCGTGCAGCTCGCGCGGCGGCACGGGCAGCGGCGCGCTGTCCGCGGGCGAGGCGGGCCGCGACACGGACGCCGCCGCCGCCGAGCAGGCCGCCACGGCCGCCGACAGGCGCGCCTTCTCGCCCTGCAGCCGGTTGTGCAGCGCCTGCGCGGACGGGGCGCTGTGGCAGCTCTTCACTGTTGCGCCGTCGGATCCAACGCGCATTACGGCATAGCTGTGACAGCTATGCCGTACTACATACTTTGCTGTTGCGCCGCCGGGCCACACTGTTGCACTGTTGCACCGTTGGATCGAACGGGCAGTTCGGTATAGCTGTGGTAGCTCCATAAAACAGACTTTGCTGTTGCACCACCGGATCGAACGGGCGATTCAGTGTAATTGTGGTAGCTCCATGCAACAGACTTCGCTGTGATGCAATCGGATCGAACGGACAGTCCAGTATAACAGCGGTGGGGCCACGCAACAGTCTCCGACGTTGCACCAATGGGCATCCCGTCCGGGAATGTACCACGACCTCTCGGAATACCGGCGTAAACACCCTTAAGGTGTTGTAAATGTCCACAGGCGGCGGTTATCACTTAACATCAGTTGAACCGCCATCTCGCTAGCCACCCGCTCACGAAAAAACAAATAACTCACCCTAGCCTTGTCCAGGAGATCGCGTCCGTGGGCGAGCCCATCCACGGGCACGTCCAGCTCGGTGATGGCGGGCTCGCACTCGTCCAGGTTGTTCAGGATGCTCTCGAGGGTGTCCTCGTACTCCTTGAACTTGGCGAGCCCCTCGCGGAGGCGCCGCTCGATCTGCAACGCGGTCGCCAGCAGGCTCTTGTGGCTGTCGTTCACGTTCTTCAGCTGCCGCGCCACGGTGTCCCGTATGGCGGGCGTGGCCGCCTCGTAGCGGTCCACCTGCGCGCGCCCTTTCGCCTCCAGCTCGTCCAACGTGGCCCGGTACTTCTGCACGTCGTCCAGCAGGAGCGCGTGCTGGGCCAGCTGCTCCTCGGTCTGCTCGCGGTTCGCGATGTAGAGGGAGTTGTGCGCCATCAGCTGGAAGGACACCTGCAGCAGCCACTTCTCCGTATCCTGCAGCGATTGGTGGTACTGGTTGTAGTCCTTGATCTCGCCCTCCAGCTCGGCCTTCTTCGCGGCGCATTTCGCTTTCAGCGCGTTGCACCTCTTCTCGATCTCCGCCACGGACTGTTTGACGGCCGGCTTCCTCGCCCATCCACTGAGTTCGGCCGCCTCGCCCTTGAGCCTGTCGAGTTCAGGCTTCTTATTGTCGATTTCGTCCTCTATGTGTTTGTACTTCTCGAGCAGGGTCTTCATTTCGCCGAGTTCTCCGCCTGTGGGCGGAACTTTGTCCAGATTCTTTTCGGTTTCGTCGATCCATTGGTTTAGTTTGTTCTTCGACTCTTCGAAGTCCTCCCATTTTCCGATCGCCGCCTTAAGCTGAGCGGTTATAGAGTTCAGGTCAATCTTCAGCTGATCCCAGCTTTCTTGAAGGACCTGAACGTCATTTCTCAGGCCGTCCTGTTCTTCGGGTGGTGTGTTGTTGAGAGCCTTCTTGAAAGCCTCTTGCAGGACCACTAACAGATGGTGACCCTCGGTCATTCTGTTGTTAACCAGTTTAACCGTCTCTAGTTTGTCTTTCGTGGTTTCAATGTCACCAACTCCGATGGAGTCCTGTACAGTGCCATGAGCAGTCTCCAACCACTGCTGGAGCTCCTCCTTGGCCTTAATAAACTCGGTGTGGTCTGATAAATTCTTCTCGCCATTAGAAACAAGACTCTGTATCTTGGTCAATAAGGATGTGTATTCGGTCTGCAGGTTTACAGTTTTGTCCCGGACCCAGGCACATGCACTGAGCTCCATAAGGTTTTCGCATCTATCGTTAAGCTCTTCTAAGACGTGTTTGTTTGCAAGCGCTTGGGCCAGTAAATCCTAATGAAAAGGAATTATTTCAATAATAATCAAAGTTAAACCAGTCACAAAATATTATAAACCACTTCTTTTCGATAAAAAGATGTTACTACATTAGATTACATTACATTAACGATCTAACCCACCGAACGAATTAATCGTGAGATAGATAAAAGTAAATCTTTGAACAGACTTTAACATTGAAATAATTTAAGACTATACTTACGCGACACTTGTCAAGGTATTCGGGAGTGATCTTGTCGACTTTTTGGACGGTGGCCAACTTTCCGTCGAAATCCTTCACCCACTTGCTCATCTTCTCCGAAGTCTCCAGGAAATCTGACCAAGCCGCGAGGCATTTCTCCAGCAGCTTCTTAGTGTCCTTGCATATGTGCTGCAAGTTCTCCCACTCGATCTTCAACTGCTTTATCTCTTGGTTTATGTTGTCCTTTCCTTCGTTGCCTGTTGTCTCCATCACAGCTTCGCTAAGCTGAATTGCCTTCTTTAGCAAGGCCTCCCCTTTCGGCAGCGATTCGATGATTTTGTTCACGTTTTTCAGTTTCTTCTGGACCTCCTTCTTCTCCCCGTGCGAGTCCGAGCATTGTTGGATCTCTATCTTACAATTGCGTATCCAGTCGTAGAAGCTGTCGTACGACTCTTTGTATTGGATATGCGAGTTCACATAGTCCTCGAGTTTCTAAAAGGAAACAAGAACAAATAGTGAACAGAAAATTGTAATTTGTTGACAGTTTGAAATAAACTGTGTGTGTTTAATTCACACAGCACAAATTTGCAAACGACCTAGTATGTCTATTTCTCTTCAGCGTTTAACAACTTAACAGAAATATGATACTTACATGCTTATGTAATTTTTTTTTTTTGTAAATATATCATAACTTTTAAACTATGTGAAAATTCGATACCACAGAATAAAATACTTACGCCAATCATATCATTGACAGTCTTCCTGATGTCACCGTACCTCTTCAGGGTCTCATCGATGTCTTTAGATTTGAGAGAAGCGTCGTCTTGCAGCTTCTCGTTTAGTTTGTTGACGAGGTCTTTGTGGGAGTCGATGTCCCTGTTAAACGTCCTGAACTTCTCAAGCTTGGCCTTCTTCTCTGAGAGGTCGTTAAGGAGCGAGTCGTCGGACTGGATCTTCTGGTCGATGTCGTTAAGCCACTCCACGAGAAGCTTGTGGATCTGCAATTTAAATAAAAATATTAAATATATTGTGGTGATTATTCATTTATTGTTCATTGGCAGTATGTTTGACAATCGTTGAAATACTATGTGTATTATTTGCACAAGGTATCCTATTTTGAAATACCTTTAACATATAAAAAACGTAGTTGCAATTAATCAGATATAACATCAGAGTAGCAACATCTGATTAGGTGCCACTCTTTTATCCTTCTCTAAGCAAATAATTACCAAAAGATAGAATTTTTTATGTAAAAGTTGTCATGCGAGCAGACGGTTCACCCGATGTTAAGTGATTCGACCATGGATATCATCAACACCTAAAGGGTTGCAGATGCAATGTCAACCTTTGAATAAGTGGACCCCAGCTACCTTACAAGACGAAACTCGAAAGTGACATACTTCTAGAATCAGAATCAGTCTTGGTACTCCACGGCCTCACAGAAGACAGTAGAAGACAGAAGGAAGTATCCTACGACGAGCCTGCCCATTTGTGCAACAGCCGAAGGTGCTGCGAGGCCCTACCACATCTATGGATGCGTACGAATAAAGCGAATGAATAACTCAATAAACCACCTAAACAACTCACCTTGGAAATGTCATCAAACTGCGACGCCCTACTGGTGAGCTTGTTGCGCACGTCCTGCAGGTCTGCGATCAGCTTGTCGAACTCCTGTTTCAAGTTGTCCGTATCCTCTTGGATCTTCGCCGCGCCTGCTTGCTCCGTGTTCATTATCACCTTCTCCTTCAGCTCCAGGAGGTAGCGCAGCTTGTTCTGCCCCTGTTCCAGCGACTGCCGCAGCAGCTTGACGGTGTTGAGTTTCGTGTTGACCTCTTGCAGGTTGTTCGGTATGTCGGCGCACTGGTTGAGCTTCTCGCGTGTTCTGTCCAACCAGTCCTGGCACTCCCCGTACAGGGCATTGTGCTGTTGGTGTTCCTGAAAATCGTTTGGGGCGTTCACTTCTGCGTCAGCACAGCTCCGGGCATGTATTTAGTGAGGCGAGTTGTGTGAAACCGCTGAACCGTTGTTAGTTTTTGGGACAGATACACAGACAGATGTAACACTTATAACACCCCACTTTCTACGTCGGGGGTTAAAAAGGAATTGAATATGTATGGTTATGGAAAAATCAGGGTAAAACCAAATACTATGATTTTCTATCTCGAGCTACAGTTTAAAAAGCTAAATAATTATTGTTTTTCAAATAACTACCAGATTCGAAATAATTGCGCAAAATCAAACAACCAAATGCGTATGCAGGGTAATAATTAAATAGATTTTGCGCGACTTGTAATTTTAAAGATATTATATTCTCTTGTAGCTGTTAACGTATAATTTTGCAAATAATTTAATTGATATTTCGTTGACGTTGTAGATACTTAATTCCTATTAGTAGGCATGTCCATACTGGGAGGCGTTTGAAAATTGTTCTGCTTTACATTATATGACATATAAGTGAATGTGACAAATGATATTGAACGTATGATACGGAAAGAGGTAGCACAGCCTATAAAATTGAAATCTAACTACACCAAATGGCGTCAGTTGAGTGCCTCATTTCCTAGCGCTAGTGAGGTTAGTCTAGTGACATATCTACCTCGTATTTGTATATAATATCATGGGAAAGTTACCTGGTAGTGCAGCTCGAGTCGCTTCATGACCTCCTTGGCTAAGGACAGTAGAGCGTTATACTTGGTAGTCAATTGGGTGATCCCGTTTGAGATCCTGGTATCGGCGCAGGTCTCCAGGAGTGTCTGCGCCCGCATATTAAGCTTGTCCAACTCGGTTTGCCAATCAAACAATGTTTGCAGGTGGCCCTAAGAGAGCGAATGATGTAGATTATAATACCATACAAAATATTTAATTAAATGAAGAAACAAGAAATCAAAGTTTTTCTGATTGTCCTTCATGTCAAACAGAATTCGCAGATATAGCTAAGATTGAGAATCAAACTTGTGACTTATATCGCAACTCCGACGCCAAACATAAATAATTAGTGGCATGATTCATATAAACATCCTTATTTAGGAAGATAGTGAAGTTCGAGGCGATTTTAAAGATATTTTTTTCAATTCAAATCTGATATAAATATCTCAAAATGCCAAACTGTAATTTACCTGAAATTCTTCAAGGACAACTTTCTTTTGTTCCAGATTGTTCTGCAATTTGTTGAATGATTGAACAAGTTTTTCAGTCTTCGACAACCAATCCAAGGCTTCCTTGTACTGCTCTTCATATTCTGTCCACTTTACGATACCTCCTTCTATCAAGGCTTTAGTGCTGTTTAGTTGCTCTCTGCACAAAATAAAAAGTTTTTGAAATGTTTTCAAAAACGTGTGTAGTATCATTATTTAATATGTAACGGGCGGCATACAACAATATTTAAAAAAAAAGTTATACTTACACATAGGTATCGAACTCTTCTTGTAAGAGAGCCACTTCCTCCTCAATCTCTTCTTTGTCGTCATCATCAGCTAGACTGCAAGAAATTTCTCCTAATTCAAGGGCCTTCTGCAGCTTCTTCTGACCCTCGGGAAGTTCACTTTCTAATACCTTCAGTTGAGATATTTTGCTGCTTAAAGATTCCTTGTCTCCGGTCGCATCGGAACATTTACCTAATCTTTCCCTAGCGGCTCTGATCCACTGGACGAAATCTGTACCTGCATCGATAAACGCCTGATGTTGTTCAACCGTTTCCTTCTGTTTTTCATACAAGTCTTTGGCTTGCTTGGACAACGTTTCGTATTTGCTGGTAATTTCGGACGCAGGTGCTTGCTGCATTAACTCTGAAGCCTTGGAAGTTACAGACTGTATCATGGGTTCAAACGAAACGATATCTTGCACAATATTGTTTGTTTGACGAAGTGTGGCTTTTCTTTCCCCGAGGCTGAGACCCGTGGTTAGGCCAGGCAAACGATCCTGGCCTTTCTTAGACTTGGCCACTTTCTGCTCGCACACTTCCTGTAATTTTGCTTCTCTATCGGAGATCCATTGCTGCAATTGTGAGTAACTAGAGCTGTAATCAGCCCATTGAAGTAATGCAGTCTCTAAATGAACCTTGGCGGTGGTCATTTTCTTAACGAGACGGTCCCACTCGTTTTGTAACTCTTTTAATTCAGTGTTGATTTTGTCTTTGCCATCTGATCTAGTGTTTCTCAAAACTTTCTCCCCGCTGTTGACAGTGGCGTGAACAAGGTTCTGGCCCTCCTCACGACGTTTTAAGAGATCCTCGATTTGTTCTAAACGTTTCTGTAAAGCCTCTTTGCTACTGTTGCTTCCTGCTTCGCTGCCGCTACGGGTAATCTCCCAAGCATCGTCAATCCATTTCTTTGTTTTAACATAGTTATCATCATAGTTTTGATGCTGTTCATAATTGGTTTCCACCTTCTTTAGAACATCATTTGCCATATTCACCAAAACTTGGTACCTGGAATTCAGATGGCGTAACTGATTGTTAACATAGGTGTCAAGATGTGATGAAAGAAGGTCGGATGCTGAAGCATTGAATTTATCAATCTCAGCCTTGCCCTTATTGAGCTGGTCAACTATTTCCTTAACCTCATTAACTTGAGCACCCTTTTCTTTAGCTGTTCCGAGTAAAGCTAATTTTTGATTTTTGATAAGAATCTCTTTTTGTTGCAACCAATCAGAAAGCCTTTCGTATTCATCTTTGTATTCGCGCCACTGACTGACAGTTTTCTCTAACTGACTTTTTTGCTGTTTTATCTCGTTGAAAAGATCATCAAAGCTTTCTTTTAATGCTTTCATTTCATTTTTTATTGTAGTCTGTCCTTCCGGTGATGTACTAGCTAAGACTACTTCACCAGTATGTTGTAAGTGCTCTAATAACAATTCTCCTTGAGCTTGTTTATTAATTAGAGCATCAAGTGGGGCCACAGCATTTTCAATTGCTAGTTTGTCACTCAGCGGTTTTGATTTTAAGGAAGGAACTTTTTCTCTAGCTCTGCTCAACCACTGAATCAACTCATCATGTGCTTCTTTATATAGTCGATGATCCTTATATTGTTCTTCACGATCTGAAAGTAACTTTTTGATTTTATCGTACAGCGAATCAAATTTGTTAAGAGCCTCCTGAGCTCTGGTTGCTGCTTGATTTTGTTGCCCACTGGCTATCATTTCTGCGGCTTTAGCTTTCAATGTGTCAACGTCCAAGCGATCACATCGTGCTTTTTCCTCAACTTCTTTAAGTTTTTCTAATTGTGCCCGCTTATCGGTCATTGAGCTTTCGAAAGGAGTTAATTCAGACAGCATGTTCTCAAGCCATGCATTACTTTTGTCAACAAATTGAATTTGTTCTAAGAAACCAGCCCATTTAGTTACAGAATCATCTAACATATTCTTAGTTTCAATCATTCTTGATAGTAAGGCTGACCATTGTTCTTGTAAGTTGATTAATGAGTTATTGATGGCTTCGTGCCCAGCAGGAGCAGTATTTGCCATGACGTTTTGCGCCAGTTCAACCAAAGATTGAACTTTAGTGAATCCTTCGTCTTTTGAAAGTAATAGATTTTGTATAAGGACTAATTTTGTTTCTAGATCATCTTGAGAACAAGAACTTAAATCTGAGCAAAAGTCTAATTTGTCTCTTAACTCTTCAATCCATTGCGAACACTCGGCAACATTGGTAGTAAACTCTTGATGTGTTTTCACATACTGCTGCCATCTATTAGTAAGGTCTTTTACTTTTTGAGATAATGTTTGATATTTTACAGTAAGGTCAGATATTTGTGAACCGCGAGGTCCAAGCATCCCTGTATAGAGATGTTGAGCCTTCTCTGTGATGTTGTCAATTTCTAGTTCTTTTGCACGTACTTCTCCTTGAAGTTCTTGGAATTTACTGTATTGGTCTTGTTTTTCTGCTAGCGTTGCTTTAAGATCTACAGCGTGAATTTGATTGTCAGTATTTCTGATCCAAGCTAGACATTGATCTTTCATATTTTCATACTCGTTCCATTGTTGAATTTTGTTCTCTAAGCCTTCTATTGTTTTGTTAATAAATGAAATTAAACCTTCCCATTCTTGGTGAGAAGCATCAATTTGATTCCTAATATTAGCTTGCCCGCTGCTTACTGTACCAGGCAGAACTTTTTCGCCTAAGGAACGTATTTTATCAATACGATTCTTTTCTTCTGGTAAATTAACTTGCAATGATTTTAATTTTTCACAATTACTACTCAAGGCTACTCTTTCTAAATTGATATCACCCCATAATTGTGCCGTATTATGAGTAGCTTCAACCCATTCCTGGAGGTCCATAACAGCTTTCGTATATTGTTGATGATTATTAACAATAGCTTCATATTGTTCAACAAATGATTTTGCTCTTGCGAGAATAGCGTCATGTCTTTGTTTGAGTTGATTAATTTCTTTTATTACATTCTTTGTAATGTCAGGTAGGTTCTGTGCACGAGATTCTAAGTCACTCAGGTCCTGCTGGTGAGAGATAGCATCCTGTAAATAGTTTCTGTAAACATTTAATTGATTACGTTTTTCATCCAAAGTCGCCTTCAATTCAATTTCCTTAGGGAGGTTTTTCTCAGCAATAGTTAGCCATTCTTGTACTGTTTTCAAATTATCCTCAAATGACGACCACTTGCTAAGTTCAGAATCTAAGTCTCTTTCTGCTTTTGTAATAGATTCATATAGATTGTCTATTGCTTGTTGGATATCCTGTAATTGTTGTTCAATCAACTCTTTTCCTTCTGGTGAAGTAGAAGGATATAATTTTTCACCAAGCTCAACTGTGTTGTTTACTAAAAGAGCTGCATTACGTTGTTGGCTTAATAATTCTTTCAAGCTCTCTCTTTTAGCATTTATTCCTTCTGGAGTATTTGATAAGTTTTTCTGGCACTCATCAAACTTGTGTTGTGCAGTCTTTAACCAATCTGTGCATTGATTATACTTTTCTTGATACGCTGTATGATCGTTTACCGCTTGCTGACATTTCTTAACCAGTTCTTTAGCTGTGGAATGCACAGATTGAAAACGAGAGGTCATCTGTTGTAAATTCATCGTAATTCTAGTATCATTGCAATTTTCAATTAAATCGCTGAATTCGTCAGTTAATTTGTCTACATCATTCTCAGTCTTTTTAAGATTTGCCAGGATTGCCTGTAAAAATTATTATTAATTACTTATTGCAACTTTAAAGGTATTTACTGTTACTTTGAAACTAATCTACGACAACTACTATTAGTACGGACACGAAAATGTTACGTTTAATAAATGAATGCCGATGTAGTTCATTTATAGTATAGATAGAGCCAAAACCGTAATAAAGTTAGTTTAACACCATCACAGTGAAAAGAACAATACGATAAGAGCTATTTCTGATAAAAAATAATTAATTTTGGTGAAATTAGACATACTACTGAAAATTATAACAACTGGTACAGTGCGTAAGAAAGGATATTCATTTTTTTTCCAAAATCTTACTTGATCCAAGGCTTCACCCAAACTTATAACCACATTCAAATCGGTCTCGTGATAATCAATTGCCTTACATAAATCCTGTTTAACACATGGTAATATTAGATAAAGAGATATTTACATATGTCATAATTAAGTACTTTACATACCTGATATTTGTTAAGCTGGTCAACTTTTTCGTCTAACGTGGCTTTAGGAGTAAACGTTTTCAAGCTCATTTCTGTATCAGTAAGCCAATGTTGAAGACGATCATTGGCACTATCAAACTCAATCCACTGTTGTATTTTATCTTCAATGCCTCGTTTTACATCGTGAACTGTCGTTGTAAACTTTTCAAGGTCTGCTCGGAGAAGGCTTAGCTCACGGGACATGCCATCTTTACCTCTAGGGGATAATTTGGCACTATTATTGTCTATGAGGTCGCTTAAAATTTTTAGCTTATTGTTGCCATTTGGTATAGCATCCAATAATTCCTGAATTTTTGTTAACTTGCTTTGTAAAGCAGCTTTATTTCCAGTAAAATCAGAGAGAAGATGCAGACGGTCCCACAAATGTTTCTGATAGTCTTGTAACGATTTTTGTTGATCTGCAAAATTTTGGTATATTTCGTATGTATTTTCATGTTTATCTATGATACTGGATAACCGGCTTGTTAATGCATTGTATCGGTCCCAAACTGATTGAATGATAGTTGTCATCTCATCACTCTGTTCTTTCCCCGTATGTAGAGTAGACGCTACACTTTTAGCTTTTTCAGTGACCGTCTCAATAACTCGTTTGTGGGAGTAAATTTCTTGAAGTAAGGTCTTGTTCTTTAGAACCTTTGATTTAATTTCTTGGGCTGAGTTTAAAACAGATTTCTCTTCGCTGTCAACTAATTTTTCTTTTTCATCCAACCAGGATAAAGTTTGTTGTAACACTTCTTGGTAACTAGACCATTGCAATGTTTGTGATTCATATTCTTTCTGCTGCTGCAATATACTATCGTTGAGCTTGTCCCATCTTTCTCTTAAAATCCTTATTTCAGCACGAATAGTTTCTCTGCCATTTGCGGCAGTTTCAGGTAAAACTTTATCACCAGCTGTAGTTAAAATGCCAATTTTATGTTCTCCATTATCCCTTTCCATCAAAAACACTTGCAATTTGTTGCCTTTACTTTCAATGTTTAATTTATCTTCCTTAGTTATCATTTGCGCAAGTTGTTCTTCTAAAGGCTTCAACCATGCATCAAATTCATTATTTAATTGAATGTATTTTCTGTGATCAGCAACCACTTCTGACCAGTGATTAACAATTTCTTTTGAAATCACATGGAGCTGTTGATATCGGCTGCTAATTTGCGTTACAAGAGGCTTAAGTCTCTCTACACCACTTATTTGTATAAGACTGTGTGATTCATCGACAAAGGCATCAATGTCTTTTTCCTTAGCATGGATAGCGTTACGGAGATCAACATATCTTTTCAACTGAGCTTCTTTTTCTTGTAATGTAGAGCAGAGCGCCTGATCACGGCATTTTGTTTCCATATCCTTTAACCACTCAGTTATTGCTTCGATGGAAGAGTCAAACTTGTTCCAAACTTCTAAAGTATGCTTTAATTTTTGTTCCGAAGTGCCGATATTATCGATAACGTTGCGAAGTTGGCTATGTAAGTTATCCATTTCAGATTTTATAGCTGAGTTGCCAGTTTCTGAAGTGCTTTTGCTAACAGACGTGAAAATAGACCGGATCTCGTCCAATTTATTAGAACCTACTTTTTCGATATCTTTTAAAGCTACCACAGATTGTAATTTCCTAATAATTTCAGGGTTTTTCACCCGTAGCATTTTCACAGTCTAATACTTTTTCTGATTGTGCATTTAACCATTCCTTAAATTGTTGAATGTGTCGTATTAAATCTTCATGACGTTTTACGCAGTCATCCAGGTTGTCTTGCAAGTTTTGAGACTTTGTCACTATATTTTGGAACAATTGTTTTATTGATTGTAAATATACATTCAAGGATGCATCATGCGTTTGGTCAACAAGTTGTTGGGCTTTGTCACAAACAGATTCTACTAGTTGTTGATGAGTCATTATTTCTTGATGCATTAGCTTATGATTTTGTAGTTGTGCTTTCTTTTCCTCCAAAGAAGCTTTTAATTCCGTGTGACGCTGCATTGCTCTTTCAACATCTTTCAGCCATTTTGTGAGTTGTTCTTGAGCCAAAGAAAAATCAGAAAATTGTAAGAGACATTGGTCAAGTTTATTGACTGTTTCTTGGAAACTATCACCGAAGCTGTCCCATAAAGTCCTAATTTTTCTAATTTTTTGTCGTATTACTTCCCTCCCATCAGGGCTGGTGTGTGCATAAAGTTTTTCACCCAAACTGAGGAATTCCTCAAAAGCGGGAGTTTTCTTGTTTCTGGTTTCATAAAGATCTTTAGCCTTATTTTGTTTCTCCTGTAAAACCGCATAGTCTCCAACTATTTCATTTAAATCCTGAAGTTCGCCTAACATACCCATAAGCCAACTTTCCATATCATTATAGTCTTTCTCAAAAGTGGTATGTTCAGATACGAATACTTCGTATTTTGAAATAATTTCATTTACAAGATTGTTTAGTGTGTGATATCGGGTAGCCAGCTTAGACGTTTTGTTTGTAAGCTCCGATTCGCTAGTAACGTTTTGCTTGTTACTTGTTAACGCGACAAAATCTGCATTTCTTGAAGCAAGCTCGTTTCGTATTTCTTTAACTTTTCGCAAATGACCTATTTTAGCCTCGAGATTATTCTTTAGACTCTGATCTCTAAGTTGATTTTCTTTTAACTTTAACCACTCTTCAAGCTCGTCTAAAGTTTTTTGATTCTCGGTCCATTGTTTTAACATTTCTTTTAGTTTTCTATCTTGTTCTTCACATTGTGAAGCAAACTGATCCCAAGTAACCTTTAATTGTTCATATTCACTTATGAGTACTGGATGACCATTAGGGCTTGTAGTTTCTAAAACAACGTGCAGTTGAGACTTCAATTCACCTAAAACGTTTTGAATGTTTTGTGCTTTAGATATTACCTTTTCGATAGCCGAAATTTTGGAATTAACATCATCTTTCTGTGTTACTACGCTATAAGTTAACATGCTATTTTCAGAAACAATATGATTTAGACGATCACGAGTATCTTCAAACATCTGTACGTACTTTTCATGATCGGAAACATGTGACTCGTAAGTGGCTATTCTCTTTTCAAGTTCCTTTGACATTCCTGTGTATCGTTCAATGGTTTTGGAAAGACTTTTCTCTGCTTCTTCATCGGGCATTAATTTTATTTTTTCAGATAGTTGGGAGAGCATGGATGCATGAAGTTCAACTTCTTGTAGTAGAATTTTATTTGCATGAAGATGGGCTTTTTTCTCGGGCAATGTTGAGCATAACTTAAACTCACCGAACTCTTGGTCTTTATCACTTATCCATTTTTGAACCTGGTTAAATGTATCATCAAATGATGATCTCTTGTTAATGGTCGTTTCAATATCTTTAATTACGTTGTTGAGAGAATCAACAGAGTCTTCGAAAGAATCTCGTAAGGCTCGAAGTTCATTCCTTACTTGTTCCCTGCCTTCCGGATTGATTCCACTGAATAAAGCTTCACCAGATTCAATTGCGTTATTAAGCAACTTTTGGCCTAAATCTTTATTTTCACTAAGTTTTTTGACCTGTGCTAGATCAGCAGCTGATGGTTTAGCGTGTTTACTCATTGCAGCCAATTCCGCAATCTTTCCATTGGCACCTTCAAGCCAATTTTTAAATTCCACGATGGATTTGTCATATTTCCCTTTATTGTCGTTTAAATCCTTGAGTCTGTTTAGATGATTATCCATAAACTTACTAACAGTCTGATATCTACTTACTAAGTGGTTAATATATTGTAACACGCGTGATTCCGGATTACGCGACAATATCTTGTCGCCAATCTCTGTAAGTTTATTAACCTGATCTCCGTAATTTTTGACATCGGAATTAAGTTTTTCTATTTCAATTATTTTGTCCTCGATTGCATTCATGTCAACTAGACTAGCAGCTTCTTGCCTTACTTGATTTTCTTTTTGTTTCAGCCACTCAGAAACATTCTCTAGTAAGGTTTCATATTCCTGCCAAGCTTCTATATTTTCTTGAAGTCTATTTTTTATTTCATCGTAGTTCGATGTTAAGACGTCTAGATTCTTTTGAGCTTTTTCTGTCTGAACTGCAGCTTCTTGCGCAGATGCCGGTTCGGCTACAACGCGTAGTATTTCACAAGCTTCTTTTAATTCTTTTACTTTTTGGTTGCAATCAGCAATGCCGTTCTCCACATCAGAAAGGGCAGCAGTTTTAACTTCCAGATTATACTTATCGCTCGATGCGTCCGGTACACACCATCTTGTCTTATCATCCAAAATCTTAAGATTACGGTTGAACATGCTAAGCTTGTCGGTAAAAAGTTTTTGCAAGAATGTCAGAAGAGTGATTTCAGTTTTGTTAGCATGCACTAAGACGCTCTCAAATCTTTTTTGCAAGGTACTAAGCTCCTTTGGTACCAAAGATTCATAAAACCCAGGATAATTTGCATTCATTTCAGAAACGTTTTGAGAAAGGTTATCGATCTCATCATTAAGATTCTGCAATTCTACTTTACAAGCTTGACATTTCTTAAGGCGATCTAGAATTTTTGCATTATCTCCAGACATGTCATCGCATTTTATAATATCGTCTCTTACTTTACTAACACTATCAGAAAGACGTTTGATATTTTCTTTTAATTTATTTTCTTTGGACTCCAGAGATGAAACAGCGCTTTCTAAGTTTTCTGCTAGTATTTGCAAAGCCTCAAATTCTTTATCAAGATAATCGATAATGGAAGAAACTTGTCCCGTAGGAATATTTTTATTTAAGTTAGTAATTTGCTCACATTTAGCTTTAATACTGTTCTTAAGTCCAGTATATATTGGTAACTCTTCTTTATATTTAGTAAGATGATTCTGGCCAAACCTTATTTCCAAATTATCACAGGCACTTGATAAGTTTTGCCCAGTTTCACTTAACCACGTAACTACTTGATTCTTTGTGTCATCAATTTGTCTCCAAACGAGCAGTTGGGATTCTAAATCTTGAATTCTCTTAATGATGGCATCGTTTTCTTTCTCCCATTGCGTCTGTGAATCCAAGAAAGAGTTTTCCAGTGGGCTGGTGTCAAATCCTCCCAGTGTCGATGCTTGTTTAAGAATAGACTGTTTGATTACGTCCATTTGATCCAATAAGCCTTTAGATCGCTTAAGAATCTCGTATGACTTTCTCGCTTTGTCTAAAGACTGTGCAGTTTGTACATAATCATTAGGAGCTTCTTTACATTCACTGTGTAATTGTTGAGCTCTACTCATTTCTCTATCGAAAGCACCTGTAAAGTTCTTCAACTCTTGCAAAGTAGATGATAATAAAATATATCTATTCTTTGTGTCCCGAACAGAATTTACCACTTGATCCCAGTTATGGTCAGCAGCAGATAACGAATTCTGTATTGTGCCCATGTTGGCTTGATCTTCTCTCATTAAATGTAAGCCTTCTTCTCTTAGTTCTTTTCTTACCGCTTGTTTATCTTTAAGTTCCTGGTCCAATCTATCTAACTGTTCTGATAAATCTTGAATGGCAATTTCAGTCAATGGTAAAGGTTTTTGCGCCATTTCGTTAAGTGTTGATTGCACATTGTGCAAGACTTCAGATACAGCCTTTTGCTGTAAATTGAATTTATCCCATCTTGCGCCAACTTTTTGCACCAAATCTCTTTTAGATGTAACTTGGTTGAGCAATGTTTCAGCTTTTACTTCAATTTCCTTTACTAAGCTAGTCGGTGAAATAATTCTGCCAGTGTTTTGGTCTGCAACTTTAACTTTGGATGGACCGTCGAGAAGAACAACATTGCTCTTCCATTCCGGCACCTTTGTGATCACATTAACGAGCTCCTGACGCAACACTTCATAACTTTCGGGTGTAAGTTTGGGTCCGTCTATTTGGTACTGAATGTGACCTAATTGTTGTTTTGTATCTTCGTACCAACTAAGTAAATCGGACCACTTTTTAAGTATTGCCTTATTTTGTTGAATATTCGATTCAATTAATTGATAATGTTCCGCGATATTTGAATACGTATCACTTAATGTGCGAGATTCATCTGGATGCGATGTAAGAGTCATGTTTTTAACTTCATTGTAAATATCAGCAAATTCTGGTGCTTTAGCTGCATGTTCCTGAAGCAGCACATGCATTGATTGCAGAGATGGTTCTACTTTATCAGCACTTATTTGATCAAAACTTTCAGTTTTACGTCTAAAGTCAGTAATCCAGTTGTCAAAGTTATGAAGTTTCGTCAAAAATTCTTGACGAACAATAATTTTGTCTGACAGCTCATTAATTTTCGTACGGACTGTTTCGGCAAGACTGTTAGTTCTATCTTTAATATCGGCAACTTTATTTTTCAGCAACGCAGCACCTTCCGGTTGTATGCTGTGACAAATGTTGTCACATGTTTGGGATAAGCTGATTATTTTTGCTTGCTGTTGTGAAATTTCGTTGCCAAACGATTTGAGCTTGTTCAATTCTCTGTCCAATTTTTCAATTTGTGGCGACTCCACGGTTATATTCCGGCTACTTAGAAGTTTTTCACCGTTTTCTACCCAAGTTTCTAGCTTTTCAGCTTCTCGCTCAAAGTTTTCCCAATTAACAACAAGTTTTTCTAACTTGTTATTCCATTGATCTGCTTGATCATGAACAACTGCCCATCTAGAATGAATTGCGTCGACTTCATCAGGCGCGCTTGTCTTTCCTGATAATTGATGACTGACACTAGACAAAATTTGCAAATTCATTAACTGTTTTTCACTGTCCGTAATTAAAGCTCTAGATTGTTGCTGCAATTGTTGTGCTTCAGGCAGCGTTGTTGGTTTTGGTACATTACCCAATTTTATTTCTGCTTCTTCTATCCATGGTTTTATTTCGGCAACACCTTTTTGATATTTCTGCCAACTTGCCAGATCATGTTCAACAACTTTTGTTTGGTGTTCTGTAGACCTTTGAAGATCAGCCATCATTTTTTCAAGTAACGCAACTTCTCCTTTCAGTCTGTTGGCATCATGTACACGGTGTTCTACTGCTAATTTTGTTCCCTGATCAGCAACATTTTTAATTATTTCTAATTTTTCTGTAATCACTTTCTGCAGATCTTGCGATTTTTCAACTCTTTCTTCAGGTGTAATGTTCTCAGATCTGATTTGTGAGATCAACGCGGGACTTTCTTTTTTGATCCATTCCCGAACATGTTCTAATTTACGTTCGACCTTAATCCATTCTTCATTAAACTTCTCCAAATGCTCGACTTTAGTGTGAACTTCATCCTGCACTTTTTCCAGCTTGTGCCCTATGGTTTGCAAGTCTTTCTCTATAACTGGCTTTGGCTTGTTAGCTGTAAGGGACTGTAATTCAGCATATGCTTGCTGTAACTGAGGCAACCTTTCCTTCTTCGCCTTCTCTAGATCTTCATTAATAACTCTCGTCTCGTGCAACTCTCGGCCTATGTTAGTTACTCCCAATTCTAAACCAGGATGAGCAATGTAGCTTTCAATTTTATCAATATCAGACAGTAATTCCTCTTTTTGATACTCATAATTGGACCAAACCTTTTGTGTATCACGAAGTTTATAAAGGCGGTCTGTTGAAGTCTCGTATGCTGTATTCCATCCAGTTTCGAGGTTACGAACATCTTCTCTAACAAAGGCTGGTGCATTAGCATCCTTTATGAGCTCTTTGCCACGTTGTAGCATAGACATGACGGAAGGTCGATGACGATCAAGTTTCTGTACTGCAGCTTGTTGTTCTAGAACTAACTGTTCAACATGTTGTAGGGATTGAGGCTCTGGTTCTACCATAGCCTGTTGCTTAGCGCTTTCTAATATACAAATCACTTCATGGACCTCACGCCTGTATGTGTAACATCTTGTATATGTTTCCGTCTTTATCATTGTGATCTCAATAGTCGGGATTAAGTTTTTGTATCTCTGGATAAGATTTTCAAGTTTTATTTGTTCATCCTGTGCTTCCATGTCTGAACAATGGTGGGTAAGCATGTCTAATGTTTGTACCAACCATTTCATGTCTTCCCGTTTTTTGTCGGCTTCACGGCAGATGTTCTACGAATTAAAGTGAAATTCACATATAAATTTTTCTGGTCATGATTTATCAATTAGGCGGAAAATAGCGTTATAATAAAGTAAAAAGTAAAGTAACAGCCTATACATGTCCCACTGCTGGGCAAAGGCCTCCTCTATACAGAGGGTATCAGGGCATAGTCCACCACGCGGCCCCACTGCGGATTGGCGGACTTCACATATCTTCGAAATATTTTTTGTTATTATTTCGAAAATATGCAGGTTTCCTCACGATGTTTTCCTTCACCGCGGAGCACGTGATAAGTCAGCACTTAAAGTTAAAAACTTCATTGGTGCCGGCACCGGGGATCGAACTCAGGTTGCTCGAGTATATTGAATTAAAGGCGAGCGCCCGGACACTGAGCTATCACGGCTCATTATAATAATTTAATAAAAAAGCAGATGCACAAGGTTTTGTATTATTATATCTTAACACAAAAAAAATAAACAAATATAAATAACATCTATTACTTAGATAATTCTGGTTGCAATAGATAGCTCTCAAACAAAATTACATAATTTTATAATGGTAGGACCAAGCCATACATAAAAAAAAAACATGTCTATCATTTGTAATTGTTTCGTAATGAAAAATATTTACCATCAATTCCCTCAACTGTTTCCAAAGAAAGCATTAAAAGTTATAAAACAATAAAATTATGTTCATTGCATGAACAACAATATGAAATATGAATGAAATTGAAAATACCCAAATATTTGCACAATTTAATTTTAAGTGCACAAAGTAATAAAATAAAATACAAATAATTATATTACATTGAATTTAATACTATATCACATACCTGAAATATAGTCTTCTCCCTTTCAAATGCTTCGGCTGAGTCAACCTCTCTCACTATGCTATCCATCGTCTTATCAACATGATCCATCCACTTCTCCATCTCGCGGAATTTCTCTCTGTAAGCATCCCATTTCGCCGGAATCCGCTGTAACTGTTGTCTGAAGTGTTCAACCCTATGTACAGTAGATTCCCATTGCTGTTCACATTTACGCACTGCTTCGTCCAATGTAGAATCTCCAGTTTGATGTGTATAACTTGTAGATATTTTCTTTAGGTTCTGAAGACAGTGTTCAACTTGCATAATTTTACCTTGGTTACGGAAGTACTCTTCGTTTCTTATAAGTATGCCGTCAGCATCATCACTCTGGTTGTATGCCTGTCAAGTTTTATTGGTAATATCAGTAACAATTTGGTGCACTTAAAAGTTGGTAAACAGAATTACATACAGTTAATATGCTATGATATATGATACAGTCATGAAATGAATTTACTGTTATACATACAGTATATGTTTATTTTACAAGTATGCATCATAAGCTAATATTAATGTTCTGTAGACCTTAGAAATTATTTGAAACCATTCTAAACTTCAACCTCAAATGCTTCGCTTTCAAGTAATTTTATGTAGTGCTTTATATAATTCTGTACCTTCATTTGTAAATCTTTTTTATAAGCTCTCTTTCTCAGCTGAGAATATTAAAGAATAATTTCTCATGTACATTCAACACACTGACTAGCCTTTGAAGCATTGTCAATAATTGTATTTCCTAGTACTGATAAACTACTCGGTCACTTATTCAAAATGAAATTAAGCCCTATGCTACCTGTTCCTCATAAACAAGCTCCTTCTCAATATCCTTGATACAATGGTGGAAGACCGCCTCATCCAGTCTAAACTCTAGGCGCATAAGGTGAGGAGGTGCACGATCCAACAGTTCCTTCCATCGTCGCTGTAACTCTTCCACTGTTTGCACTATGCGGGGCCTATCTTCAGCATTTACCAACTGTTGAAAACAATACAATTAAATAATATAATAACAAACATTAATAAATAAATTATGCATTCAATTCATGATATATAAATATATAATCATGAAACAAGGATTACTTTGCACTCTCTTTACTTTCTGGCATAGACAAAGATTCACATAACATTTCTCACTCACTCACAAAGAGTATCCTAACAGGGTAGATAGAGTTTCCAGTACACAGCTTATATTGCAAGGCAGAAAGCGTGAAGAAAAAAAAACAAGCGTTGAATAAAATTTTTAAAATAATACAGAATATTATAGTTGAGCATTTTTATAACTTCAAGTCAAGAAAATGTAATACATATATAAAATCTATATATAAAATTCTTGTCACAGTTTTAGTGTTTATACTCCTTGAAACGGCTTCACCAATTTTGATGAAATTTTATCCGAGTCAGCTAGTTATTGAAAGTTATAATTATGCTTGTATGCAGAAACTATTTTCAATTCATTACATTCAAGCAAATTTCCATAAAAGCATTAGTAAAACTGAAATTGATAATTACAATTTCAAGCATTGTTACATTCATATAGGTGGTAATTAGGATAAGTGATATTCAGTTAAAATATAATACATATGTGATCTGTGAATACAATGAGTCACATAGGCTATGCTCTACTATTCTCTACCTAGGAGGAAGCTTTTGTCCAGCGGTGGGAAACAGGCTAAAGTTTAGTGCTTGAAATGGGATAAAATTAATTTTACTAAGTTTTTCAATATCAAGTCTTACTATTTAAGTGAAATAATAATAATGGCAGTTATATTTTGTGTCTCATGGTTTCGATGTTTCATAAAAAAATTAATATATTTTAATATTGATAGTTACAATATTGGTAATATACAATTTAGCTTAGAGTCATGGAAAAAATCATTAAAAGTACCTCAATGAGCTCCCTTCCGGATCGTACGAGTTCGGAAACGGCTCTCTCATCAGCCCCTTGGAAGAATCTCTTGTGGAAATCCACAACCTGTTTTGAATCAACTCTGTTATCGGCCAAAAGTGCTTCTGCTCTCGATGCCCATTCTTCCACGGTACGTTTCTTGCTTTCAAACTCATCCCAAGCTCGGACGAGTCTTTGTAATTCCGATTCTTTACGAGTGGCTTCAGAGGAGACATGGGCGAATCTGAGAAAAAATAGGTTAAACTTATTAAATTCGTCATAACTTTTTTTCTTTTAAAGGTTACAAAATGTATAATTTCTTCCCCACTCATATAAGTTATTTGTATAATGTATATAACCGTGAATAGAATGTTGTTGCGAAGGAATGTAAATATTTACCTTCCTACCGCCCTTTTAGTTATCAAAAACAGTGAAAAAACTAAGTCAAAACTCAAAATTCAAAACTGACACTGACAACAACAGTTGTCATCAGTGAACAGGTCTCGTAATTAACACTTTTTTTCTTCATATGCAGTGATTAGTAATACAATAATTATGACCCTTTCGTACTTAGATTCCTTGGTAAGTACATTTGTGTTATCGCAATAAGACCACCAAATAATATCGCCAATGACACAGTATAAAATCCTTTACTTTTGGGAATGGAAGAAATTGTCAATCAGTAAAAATTAAAAATATAGACTGAGAACTGAAATAATGTTGCTTTAATATAGCCTTAAATTGTGATTACAATTGGTATTCCAAATAAAAAAAATATTATATAGTTTTTTAACTTACCTATCATTAAGGTCCTTCATTAACCTTACTTGGTCTGTAACATCAGCACTGCGGTCAACATCAGCTGCTTTAACAATGTTCTGGAAAACTTTGTTTTTGCTTTCCAACATGGAACGGTAATATGTGGTGCGTGAGAAAAATGTTCGATGAATCTCGTAACGTTCTTCAATGACCTCGCTATTGAAAATAGAAAAAAATCCATTTTTAGTATTATATATAAGTACATATAACTTTTCTACTCATTGTTAATTACATATTAATTTCTCAATATTTCATATCATTATATTTATTTTAGTTTTCAGTTGTATTAACAAAAGCTCTCAAATTTTTTTATAATTATTTTGGTAGACAAAGTTAAGAGTTGACATATATTTTATGTTTCTTTGAGTTTAAGGGAGTTAAAGAATGCAAAAAGCGCTATAATTGGTGCTCATCACTGGGATTCGAGTTAACTCCAACTTGAAATGTGAACTCTACTTCGCACACGTACATTATCAAATCAAACATGCAAGTCTAAAATATATCTCTATTTAATTTAAGCTTGCTTCAAGGTCGTTTATACGTCAAAATCAATCACCGATTCACTTATACAGTTTGGATAATCATAATTTGTATGTAAGAAATGTGTTAAGACATGCTTTTATGCTAAAAATTACAATCGTATGTTTTTAAATTATATTAAAAAAAATTGTCCCACTGATTTTCTTCTGCCGGTTCTTAGATCAGCGGTATTTTTTCCGAACCGGTAGCAGTGTTTTTTTGTGTAATGCTTCTATATTGAATAAAGATATTTAAATTTGGATGTGCTCATGCCGACGACTCATAGACAAACTCACCGTCGAGTCTCAGTGGTGGTTCGCAGCAGTTCGTCGGCTCTGTCGAGCCACTGGCCGATCTCCTTCTGGCCACTCTCCAGCGACTCGTGTTGCACCAGCAGCTGCCTGTACTGGTGCAGCTTGACCGGCACGGTGGCGCGCACCCTGACCAACGCCTCCTTCTGCTGCTTCAGCTTGCCCATGTTGGATTCCACTTCGTCGCGAGGCAGGTCCGCGATGGCGTTTTGGAAGGTCCTTAATGTAAGAACATGGAGTTAGTAAAAAGTACTCAAGGTACGAACACAATGCTATGAGATATATAGCCATATACAGATGCGACTTGTGTCTGAAGCGTATGAAGGATATAAATTACGATACTCTGTAATAATATTATATTTATTTAAAAAAAATGCACAATTGGGTTAATTGCAAACATTACCAGTGTTTCTCAACCGAGAAATAAATAGAGAAAATAAGGAGATGCGAGTGAGCTAAATGAGAAGTAGTGTAAGTAAGTAAGTAAATACTAATTTTTTGAATTCAAAATGCGATGAATTTATCCTAGATATAAAAAAAATTATGACTGTGACTGAAGTTTTGATATTTTGAAATTGTTAATGTTCTTTGTACAGGGCTATAATTAGCCGAAAAATGATCTGGATCTGTTACAAAGACTCATTCACCTGCTGATAGTCTTAAATACTTCTTCGTGGTGTTCAATTTCCGAGTTTAGCTGAAGCAGCTGATCAATATATGTCTGTATATCTGTGGTGTTGGCTCGTGGTTGCCTGGAAAGCAGGTTCTCAGCAGCCGATAGCCAGTTGTCGAGGGTTTGGATGCCGGCAGCGAGTTCACGGCGGTGACGAAGAGCGTCTCCTCCACGCACATAGCTAAATATATTAACGTGAATCAATACAATGATTACAATACAAAAGAGTTTTTTTTTTATTGTTAGCAAACTTCCTCTACAGACACGTGGTCATTTTGTAATATAAAAGAGTTTAGAGGTCAGACATTTTGTAATACAAAAGAGTTAATATAATAGACTGCTACTCAGAGAAGAACGAATAAGCACTTAAAAATAAGATTTAAATTTATTCATTATTAAATTTTAATCGAGCCCCTAGTGAGGCGTCTGACGTAAGTATAAAGTTTAGAGTTTAAAGAGCATAATGTTCGTGTTGATTGGGAGATCATACTAAGTTTTAATTAATACTTATAAACGGCGTTTGCGATAGGGCGCAAAGAATTAAAAAAGTTTATTAAAGCTGTCTTTAGCATTGTGCACTTATATTTGCAATTTTTTCAATTGGCCAAATTCAGTTGTTGTGTGTATCGCTCAATTTGATTGGTCGAATACCAAATTTAACTAATTAATTTACAGTAACTTACCGTTCGGCTTCCTCCCACACTCGCTCCCAACGTTCAGTAATCTCCACGTATTTTCTCTTTATCTCGGAGCTTATATCTTCAGAGCAGGTAGCAGCTAAGAAACCAGCCGCATCACCCAAAATCTGGTGTTTCTCTTTCCACACGGTAAGGTCGTGGAAGAATTCTAAGCCCTCGTCTTCAGATACTCTCAGCATGTGTTGGGCTTTATCTAGCCACGCAGTAAATTGTTCCACTAACATTGTCCATCTTTCCCAATGGGCGATGACTTCTTCAAGGACGCTTCTTGCGCATCTTACATCGGAGGCGACTCTTCGCCATGTCTCCGAAATTTCCCTTAGGAACGAATCAATTTCTCTCGCTTCAGTCCTGTCTACTTCGCATACTCTCTTATATTCTTCTGCCACTTGCTTAATATCTACATAGGCTTTGTCGAACTCCTGGAAAATCTTGTTCTTAGTCACAAAATTATCGTAGTCATCTAATAAGGCACGGACGTGTTCCACTCTGCCGCATTTAGCGGTCCAAGTGGCCAATTTTGCTTTCGTAAGTTCTGTGAAAGCCACAATACAACATTTGTGTTCCAAATACTTTAACCTGGCTTTTCTCTGCGGAGCTCTTCGACTCACAGCTTCCAAGCGCTCCTTCATTTCTTGCAGCCTTTCGGTTGGGATTCTAGCGGCGTCGGGGGAACGCAACGCCGCTTCGAACCTCTCGGCGACCTCAGGTAAGGCGGCGAAGAAAGATGTATGTTCTTCCAGCTTTTCGCTGATCAATGCAGCGGTCCTCTCGTCCAAACTGTTCGGGATTTCGTCGAAATACAGCAGGTATTCGGCCCTCGAAAGCCATTCGCCGACCGCTCTGAAGTCACCGGGCAAATCCGAGTCCAAAAGCCAGAGCCATCTCCTGTGAAGTCTCTCCAGTTCAATCCACAGGGAGACGAGCTCGCGCCACGATTTCGGCGCAATGGCAACTAAGCTCTGCGTATACATGAGCTTCTCGAGTTTCTGGTACGTCGGCTCTCTGGCGAGCCGCTCGTTTTCGGCACGGACATAGTCCTCGTAGTTCCGCGATAAGGTCCGCGTGTCGTATTGCCGCTGGATCACGGTCACGCGCTCCGTGAGCCACATTCTGAGCGATTCGTATTCCTCCTGGACGGCCGCGACGGCGTCCGGTCCTGTCGTCTGTGATTGATCAAAACTGTTATTAATGACATACGAAATCGAAGTAATCAGACGTTTAACAATCCGGTTTTAAGTTCACACAGAATGAAAGTGATTTAACATTAATGACTCGACAACGAATGACTTCAACAACTGCAAGTGATACAGCACATACGGCGGAAGGCTTTCATCCTTCTCACTCACCTTGGGTTCCGGATATTTGTGCAGGAACTGCGCCACGTATGTCATGATGGATCTCTCGTCGGGCTTGTCCACGTCGACGTCCTCAGCGTCCAGAAGGCGGGCGATGCCCAGTTCGGTCTCCGCTACATCGAAAGCGTGCTCCAGACGCTGCCTGTTGGTCTTCCTCTTCATCTCGGCGAGGTTGATCAGATTGGCCTTGATCGCGTCTATAATCGCGAGGAAGGCGACGCCGTCGCGCCATGACGGGCCGAAGTCAGCCACTTGTATGTTTGAATCCCTGTAGAGGAAATGAAATTGAGTAAAGTAAAGAACCTAATAGACTATAAATGTCCCACTGATGGGCAAAGGCTTCCTCTGTACAGAGGGAGGGTATCAGGGCATATTCCGCCACGCGACCCCACACGCGGATTGGCGGACTTCACATATCTTCGAATTTTTTTTAATTATTATTTCGAAAATATGCAGGTTACCTCACGAATTTTTCTTCACCGCTGAGCACGTGATAGTTCAGCACTTATAATAAACAATTTAATTGGTTCCGTTTAATTAGTATTGAAATTGTAAAGGCGAGCGCCCGGACTCAGAGCTATCACGGCTCTTTTTAAGAAATAATTGTAGCAATTCTCTTGGGTGAGTCTTACTTGGGTAGTGCATTCGCCACCCATTGCAGGAGTGTCTTCTTTGCGCCTTGCTTCCATCTGTCTTCCGCTCTGTGTGTTGGCGTCGCAGCGCCGGACTCCTGGGACATGACTGAGGCACATCTTGAACCACCAAGGTATTCCAGAGCGCGACTGTTCTCTTCGATCTATAAACAAGCAAATATCGAAATTGAATAACTCTCACTGACCTGCCGGATAAATTAATAAATCAACTTATTATTTATTTCCGTATTCCTTTTTCAAGTAAAGTTTAAAACAATTGAATTTCGTTATCATGTCTTATAATATATAAAAAAATTATAAAGTTCAGGCGAGCAAAATAAACAAATGCTTGCTAGATCTTGGTTCAATTCCAAACTACTAACGTATGTATTTTTATATTAAGGGTGGTTTATGTATTTCGCGACATTACATTAATTAATTATATAGACTTTGCAAAATTTAAATCGTTCTATTACAGTATAGATTTTTAAATCCGCTGTCCGTTATCAATTGTTGTTTTTTTTTTCATTACGATCTGTGGAAACTTTTAGAAATTATGATTTTATTCACTATAAAAAAGAAAGACGACATCATCTCGTTGATGACGGATGTCAGTCATTACCCACTCACTTAAGTTTCATAGTGCTGTATACTGTATAATTATTTGATGTAACCGCGGATTTGCTTTACAAGATTCCTTGTTAACAAGAATCCATCATGAAAGAAACAACAACAACAACTCCATTTACAAAAGTTAAAATCCATCTCTTCGTAGGTATGTTTTTAAACGGTTTTATTTAGCTCGACCCGTACGGAATTTGTTTGTTTATTTATTTGGGTCAAAATTAGAAATTGAAATTTAAGCACCTTGCCGTCGTCAGATTGATCTGAAATTTGGTACACACATTTAATTTAGATGACAATACAATATTAACAAAAAAAAATTAACAAAAAAAATAACATAAAATAAAACCGTTTAACTTAAAAGTTTTTTAAAGTAATTATTTATAGAAAGTAAGGCAATTATTCTTTCCATTAAAAACAAATCCAGTAGTACCCACTGCAGTTTGGGCGGCAGAAGATTTCTACATATTTTTGCTTACCAAACACGCATTTAATCATAACTATATAAAACGGTAACTTATCACAATCATTTTTATATACGGCTATATAAAATTACCGTATTTGGCCACTAGCTGGGCTAAGACTAACTCGCCGCTGCATGCCATTGTATGTGTTAATTTATTTGGATCTTGCTTAGCTAATAGTATGCAGCCATTTAAAAAAAACTATTCTGGATGGAATATTAGCTAACATGACTAATAAGGGTATATAGCAGAGAATATTTAATATACTTCATAGCAAATTCAAAGTTAGCACTTTGGATAAACTTAAAAAAAAAATCAAATTCCAAAATGAAGTTTAAATTATAAAACTCGATGCCATCGTGGTCATCAAAAAAATTAAATTCACTATACTTTTAAAACCCATTGCGTTCGTAAATGAGTTTTTAATTTTCCCAACGAACTTTATATTCTAAAAAACACACGTTTACTTCTATGAGTGTTGTCAGGCTTAACAAAATAAAGTCGCTTAGTAACGCCTAGTTATTGTAACTTAATTGAATGTAGGTTTATTTCAATGTCTTGTGAACACCAAGCGGAAAGAAACTTTGCGGCAAATATATAGTAGCAATAGCCAGGTAACTTATCAATTCCAGAGGAACGGTTTTGCTCAAACTTTTTAGAAATTAAAGCTTTACTAAGGCTATAAGATGCCTTTAAGGGCACACAAAGTATATTGTGTCCCATACTCTCAAATATATAAGTAATTCATACTTTTATATGAATATACGAAGTTCTCTTGGTAACGTTCAATACAACGGAAACCCGGGTACCTACTAATGGACAAGCGGTTCATAAAAAATCTGGCGATTTGGCTAGCATCAATATCTTATTTTACATATCTGCAGCAAACTTAAAACTGCAGCATGCAAATTTAATTATATAACTATAAATTTAAAAGTGTCCGTTTGCGTTCCTGATGACTCTACATTAGCAATTAAAAAATATAAAAAACAAGAGAAATAAAAGTAACAAATCTCTCTTTAGCAACATAAGAATTACAAAAAAACAGAACAGGTTTACAGCTTTTATCATTTACGAAAATAGTACACAGTGTTAAATGAAACAATTTTCACATGTTTCCAGTTTTTCTGGCCTTAATATAGTTTTAGAACATCGTGGTGGGGTCACCCGTAACCATGACGCCATCTTCTGCAAGTATTCGAAACTTCGGGAATTTAAACTAAATTAGACTCGATAAATTAGTTTTTGTCAATTAGATAACTGGGCAAAAACTGTTTCATTCAGCAATAGTTGTAAGCTGTACTAGAAGCCATCTGCGTACCCACCTTTTGTCCATAATCCTGTGGGTCCAACGGATTGAGCGAAGCTTGCGCAAACAAATTATATTCAAGCCAATTAAAAGGGTTACACGTTGATTTACTCTTACATTGTACTGTGTATAAGTTAGGTACGTGACTTAATGTAACAAGAACGTACATACTAGAAGTGCAGCCTTCAACTTATTAGGTTAAGATACATATAAAGATTCCCACAAGAATGTCGCGCGACATCTCGTTTACACACTTTAATTGGTCTCAGTTTTATGTAACATGTTAATTATAAGTAAAGCTATAAGTTCCAGACCATTCATTCATAAAGGCACGCGGGGCTAACAGGTTATAACAAACAGGTCAAAACTCTGGTGATAGTCACAATAAAAACCATCGGTTACTAAGCTATACGATATAATTTCGAATTCTTTCGAAGAAAAATTTTGTGAGTGACAAAAGTGTTGAACATAATTTCCCATACAGGCAAACTCCATGTGCACATAAACTCCTGTGTGATTCATTATCTTTCTTTCCTCCGCCGCGGAAACCCAAATCGTAATAGATCTAACAACGAAACCACCGTTTATTTAAAGATCGTCAGATATTTTACGTTACATAGTTTGTCTCTTATAAAATATATCGATGTGCCGCAAGACAACGAAAACCACTTTTCGCGTCCGCCGCGGCTTCACAACGATCAGTCTTTGAAAAATTACAAAGAGGTTTACTATAACGACCGTAATCCGATCTAATTTCGTATCTGTCCGCTAGGTGAACCGTCTGACACGGAGATTGGCGGTGAAAGTCTTGTATTGTTTTAAGGCCCCGTACACACTGCTCTCCTCGTAGGGTATTTATTTTAAGACGCTCTCATTACGTCTGCATATTTAATGCATGTGTTCAATTGTTCATAGTATCGAACCAGTCGCAAACAATACTTACTGTACTTTCAAAACACTCACATTATATATGTAGTTTTTTTTTTAATTTATCTAAACTGCCAATTTTGAATTTGCTGTGCAGTATAAAGATAGATAAGATATTTAGCCACCCGAAAATTAAGAAATTTGCACATATACCAAAAGCTGTTAACAGTATGATAATTTCGTATAAACGTAACGTTTATAAATTTTTACTCTTCAAAATTCAAAGTTCAAAATCAATAATTTTAGATAAATGTCCATTTTTTTTTAAAATCGCATCATTGGGTGGAGAAATTGGATATTACAGAGATTAATAATGATAATAACAAAATGTTCACACCTTATTACACACATGTGTGAAGATATTATTTATTGGGGTGTTTTATAACTTCATTGTTTCGATGATTGTATGTTTCCGTTGTAATGTAACTTGAAAATATTCAGAGTAACTCCTGAAAGTTTCAACATGTCATGTCTATCCTAGAAGTGATAATGCAATTATTGGTAAAGGTGTTACAAAACAATTGGCTCTCTAGTATAAACACTTATCTTATGAGAGTACAACTCAAGATAGAAATGAAAAACTGAATGAAACTTTTCAGTATAATGCATTATGCAAATTAAAAATAAAGCATTTAAAACAAAAAGAGATAAGGGATTAAATTAGCAAACTCTCTTGCTCACTGAAAGTCATTTTGGCTCTTAGGAGATAAAAGCAAATATTAAATACAACTATCATTTTAAAACAAACAGTGTGTACGTGACTTCTTGAAAGTAGCTAAACTTTAATACTGTTGCGGAGGAGTAAATCGTGAGGAACAACGAACGGTACTTTGGCCTTAAATGAAGATTTATTCCTTTAGAGAAAATACAGTACAAACCTCTAATTTAAATTGAGACGCAATAGTGTCGTACTGGATTACTTAGATTTTAATGTATTTTTTTCATTTTTTTACAAATGATATTAATAATTTCTATTTAATACATTAAAGATGTGATACAACCATAATAAAACAAACGGCCAAGTGCGAGTCGGACTCGCGCACGAGGGGTTCCGTACCATTCTTACCATTACCATCTGTAACAACGGCAAAAAAATAAGGAAGCCCCACTTACATATTTTTTATTCTGATTTTTAGTATTTGTTGTTATACCAGCAACAACAAATACTAACTATCATGGTTCATGATATACAGCGTGGTGATACGGACAGACAGACAGCGGAGTCTTAGTAATAGGGTCCTGTTATACCGTTTGGGTACGGAACCCTAAAAGCGAAATAAACGACAGACTATCAAGCAAGCCTAGCCTACGCGTAATGGTGCCAAGAACGCTAGCTGCATTTCCTCGATAAATGGTAAACTAAGTTGTTTAAAACGATATGTTTAACCTTTGAGCAAGAAAAGAACCAGTCTCCCTGTCTCAACTAAAGTAAATTAAACTTGTCTTACAGTCACTTAAACTTAAACTTGTCTTGTTATGGGGATTGTAGCAAACAACCAAATGGCACACTTCATAAACAATGGAATTAAATTTTATTTTGAACATAAAACGAAAGGTTTGCAAATATAAAAATACAAAGCACTACATGTGGTTCAGATTTGTTGACTTGTATGAGTTGAGTAAGTCAACAAGATGAACAAAACTTGTATTTTGTATTTGTATTTCAGATTTTTCATACAAGAATATTTGATGAAAATATTATAAACTTTACAGAGATGTTTAAACCCATTAAAGGAGCAAAATATCAGATATAGATAATAAAGAAACCATTCAATTTCTGAGAACTGAGGTTTTGTTTTTATTGCGTATACTCGTATTTGTTGCGTCATTTTAAAAACAGTCTTTGGAATTGAAATAATGTAAAACAGGTTTGACAGTCTCCGATTAATAACAGTTAATTTAGTCCTAGCAAATTAAAAATATCTTTTTTAATTGGTGTGATTAATATAACATTATTTTTTTATGTTCGTTTTATGGGTTTTTTTTTATGGTAAACCATGTGTGTAGTTATCCCTTTTCCTTCTAATTCAAGTAAGGCTGTGGAAAGCGGGCATAGTTAATTTATTAATTGTATTATCCAGTGATTTGGACAACGTGTTATCGTTTACCAATTAGTTAATCATTTGGATTATAGACTGTATTGAAAAGTGAGTGTGACTTATGGTGTATTATCCCCTGTTCCCCCAAATTTGGACACCCTAATATTCCATTCTCATTAACAACGGCCTTGAAAAGCGAGTACGGCTTGTCTCTTATTTCCCCAGACTTGGACATTTGACGTTAACCACCGACTTGAGATGTGAGTGTGTGTAAAATGGGGGGCAGCAGACTAATTTATATGAATAAGTATATTGCAGGGAGAAAATAGAGGATTTTTCATATAAGGCAATTCCTTATATACTATGGTACAGCGCCGCCACGGGGCTTTTTTTACTACTATTATTTACTATACCACAATTAGACTACTAGCGCCATCTAGCCCTTTGTTAGTTGTTTCAAATGGATTAGCTAGATGGCGCTACAAACAGAGTGGCTTATGATGTACTATCCCCTGCTCCCCCGAACTTGGACAGTGTAATATTGCTCACCTGGAAATAGAGGATGATGGTCCAGATGAGCCCCAGGACGACTGCGGGCCTGCCGTCCACCAGGTCGGCCGCGTTTATGTTCACCAGCTTGATCCGCTTGCCCGCCAGGAAGCGGAGGGCCGTGTTCGCGTTGGAGAGGAAGTGCGGCCTGCGAAGCACCCGCCCGCGTTCCATCGGCTGCGAGACGTGAACTCTTATTTTGCATTTTTTTTTTTTTTACATTTAAGAGATATCTTTACACAACATTCTCTAGTCCCAAACTAAGCAAGGCTTGTACTATGGGTACTAGAAAACTGATAAACATACTTAAACATATTGTTTTCTTGATTTTACGCGAATAAAAAACGCGATAAAATCCGTAAAGTAGTTTCATTTAATATACTTAAACATACTTTTCTTTTATAAATAAATACAAATTATACATATATAAACATCCAGATACTGGAAAAACACTATGTCCATCACACAATATTTTTACAGTAGTGGGGATCGAACCCACAATTTATTGAAGTCCAATGAATCATGGCGTCAGTTGTTTCACCAATAGGCTGACTCAACTGGGAAGCTATCGAATCTACGCGATGATGGTGCCTATTTAAACTTTTACGTTGCGACATGCGAGTAAAGTAAATGGACTAGACAGGCGTAGTGGATATCGGATTTTGACGTTAGAGTGTGATTCGATCCACTCTAAAAAAAAACAAATTGCATGATGAATATAACTTTTGAGTATCTGTATGTTTATGAATGTTTTTATTAACAAACGAAAATTATGTTTAGCTTTATTTAGGTAGCTGTTAAACGTACTAGGCAACTCTATGTAAAAATATCTTCAGAAATATTGATTTATTAATAAAAACGGTGGTCTAATACAGATTATTCACACAATTCTTTATAAAAGTATCTAATAGCAGGTTTCCACTAATTTTGACAACATTTACCACAGACGAACTAAGGAGGACATTAGACAGAAAAATGCAATCAATCAATATCATGGTCATCGCCATTGCAAGCTTTGTTGTTCCTCTTTTATGGGAGAAAGTGGGAAACGAGCTGGCGGTTCACCTGATGTTAAGTGATAACCGCAGCCCATGAACAGTTGCAAAACCCGTAGGGTTGCAAATACGTCGTCACCTTTTGATAAAATGGGCCCCGGCTACCTCACTCACCAGACGAAACGCAGAAGTGTAACACTTCTACTTCACGCCGGTCTTCTGTGAGGTCGTGGTACTTACCCGAACGGAGCTGCCAATTCGTGCAACATTGAACACTGTTGCGTGGCTCTACCACAATCAACTTTTCGTTTCTTGCAATCGTTGTTTGCGAATGGCCAACTCACCAGTTTCTCGCCGGAAAGCACTTCGAGGAGCGCCAGCAGTTTGGTGCCATCGCGAAGGTCGTAAATCAGGTCGTCGATACGAAGCGGCGGGATGCGCTGCGAGAGAAGCACAATATTATTCCCTCTGAGTTTCGTAGCGCTGAGATTTCTGGATCGAACCCAGTGTTGTATCAACGAGGTAAATTGTTCAGAAGACTGAGGCCCAAGAATGTCTCATCATCATCATCATCATTTCAGCCTGTTTGAGTCCACTGCTGAACATAGGCCTCCCTCAGAATGTCTGTTTCACATTAATTCCACTACTGCACGGGGCACGGGGTGTGTGGTAACTAACATATTGTCAACATTTTTTTTAAAGAAGAAGATACCGATATTTATCTTATTTATAAGTCTCCGATGGAATTGCACACAATAATATTTGGAATTTACCAATTATAACCTTTTTCTACCCATTGTCTAAGAGGATTAGTCACCGTTTCAAGTTCGATCGGACCTAGACGAGAAATCCCTCATTCATGACTCATTTAAGCTATTACATGAACTCTATCTACCCCTATAAGACGCCCCGGTCGCACGCTCCCTAGGGAGACGAGAAACGAGTAAGCAATTGTTTGTAATTTGTATTTGTAAGGCCGGCAGTTATTGTGGCAAAGGCATCAAATGTAACAATTATAAAATCAATACAGACAAAATTACAGCGCAAAGGAAAATAATCACGGGGTTACAACCCCACATACATGGATACAGTAAGTGACGTAACGGCATTTTATATTTGGTCCTAACAAGGTTAATTTTCTCGAAGGCCTATTGTAATTTAAGATAATAATGTTTTCTCGCCGATTGGGTATTTGGGTGAATGAGCTTACCTTCGACAAATGTGAATTTATCCAGTTGACAAAAGTCTTCTTCTGCACTCTTTCTTGTTCATCTGAAACAAAAAAAAATTGTATTTAATTTCTCTTTTTTCGATATGCATTCAAGAGGACGACGTAAGTAATGAAAGACATCAGTAAAACATCCGTGCTATTAAAAAGAATATATGTAGTAATACTAATATTCTTTGAATCTTAAAATATCTTAGTCCTATTCCTCTTGTTCCTTAATGCTGAATGTGTTATTCATTTTTATTCATCGTTTTGTACATAGTTTTTTTTAACCCTAAAAACGGATAAACGCTTGACTACTATCTCACCCGATAGAAAGTAGGATGCAATCTTGATGGTAAATGCACTTTTGCCTTTTAGACACTCAGATTTAGATAATCAGACGAGAAAACTGATGCTTGCGAATTGTTTCACTCTTTTGCTGTACGCAGCACGAAAAAGGAGGCGAAACTTTTCGTTCGTATGCGTCTATTCTCGAAGTATGTACGGAATAATTTCCTTTGTTTTATCTACCTCATTTACTAGGTATCTACCTATTCTGAATACCTTAAACACATCGATATATGTACAATGTCGATGTCTTTAAGGTCAAGGTTAAGTCATAGGTTAACGTACAAAATAAATAGAGCGAAAATAAAATTTATTTACGAACCAATTCTCATTCAATCTTGATTTTATATCCCGACTGTGACTGCATAGTCACTCCTACTTTTCGAACAACATATTCATCCATCATTCTCACCAGAGTCCATTCAGTAAAGTGTACGAAACGAGGGAATTAAAAAAGCAAGTGCAAAAATCCCACACTTTATCGTGATTAATCCCGGCATCTAGACATTTTATTGCGTCAATGCAGCACCGGACAAACGTGTGATGTTTCCTGTCCAAATGTCATGGTTACCCAGGCTTTCATTTCAGACCATCGAATAGGTATTTATAATTTTTGTGCACTTGTTAAGTATAAACATTTTGTGCTTTTTAATTGTGAAGTCTTCACATATCCAAAAAGTTTAGAGTACCCCATTCTAAAAAGAGCGTCTCAACGCTCTCTTTAACGCGCTCTTTATCTCTCTTTCTTTCATTAGAAAATAAACTGTCTATATTAAGAACAACATCAACTCGAACGCTAAAAATTCTTTTACATTCCCATTTACATTCAAGTTGGCACTCCACTTGATAGTGCTCGAATAAACACGCCAAGTTTCTGAGCCTATTTTCGAAACGTCAAATCGTTTTCCCGCCAAAAGTGCATCCAATCGCGTCGGTTACGTACTCAACGATAAAAGCCGGTGGCCATTGCCAAGTTCAGTGCACCGATACATCGTGAACAATGGCCCGTGATTGCGTCTTTAAATATATCGATGATAGTACTATTTTCGCTGGTGTTTTGCAGAACGTGACTATTTCTGCACTATGATTTCACACTATCACCGGTAACTACTTCGAGATGTGACTCAGTACGTATTTATTTATTTATTTAATAGGTACATCATTAAATATACCCATGCGACTGACTTGAAAGAGCGGAACACTGTTTTAGATGGCAAACTTTTATACTTCATTTTTACAAGATGACACAGAATAGTCGAAGTTTTTCAAAACAGTCAATCAATTTAGTTATTACACTGAGAAGATACCTAATCTTCGAAAATGGCTTTCCGCCGATCCTAAAACTGGTTCAGTAAAAATATTCTTCCAGATTCATCACAGTTTACTTTGTTATCAAATTGACGTTTGATTTGTCGAAACAAAATAAAAAGCGAAGTTTGTCACACTGCTATGTCAGAGAATAATATCAACTTAGCTTGGTTAAATATGTTGAATTATAACTAACATTGTTCATTGGCGTATTCATTGAAAGCCGCCAAAAAAGAAAAGAAGAAGAAGCGATATTCGCGTAAATACAAGAAGTCATTACACATGTTTGACAGTTTATAGTGACGTCATAACGATCAATATTGGCCCAGTGTTGGCATGGTGTGGCTTGATGATCCTTGGCGCAGTATGTGGTGTGGTATTACCAAGAATTGTCTCATAAATTAGGCATAGCTTGAATAAATGACAGGGTCATATCAACTCTTCGTCAACTCTCTCACTTCAAGCGTTATCTAGGTATATTGGTAAAAGAACCAAGTTGTTTTCACGGATAACTTTTCGTTTTTATAATTTTAATATGTCTCATGTATTATCGTAATTTAAAACATTTTGCACTAAATAATTACATTATCTGTCGTCAGCTTTGTTGTAAGTCACATATAAGACACCGTTTAGTATTTTAATCGTAGAACATAATTCACGGATTCAATTATGCCGTCCGCTCGCCGACCTTATAAAGGCAAAATACAAACATGGCAACATTCTAACAACCTCACGAAACGGGCTGCTTATTCCACGTTTGGTCGCAATCTGGGAATTAAATGCGACCTCTTATATGGAACTGGCTTCGAAGTCACTTAGTGAGCCATTCATAAGGATTGCTTGTAAGAAATATAGTTCAGTCAGGTTGTTAGTTCAGCTCAAGATTGCCAAATACGCGGAGTTTTCCGTTCGTTTTTAGACTACACATAAACGAATAAAGCAAAGTATTTTTTCTATAGCAAATACTTTGTAATGTCAAAGCACTAACCCGTGTAATAATAAAAAATACAGATCCATTGATCTGCTGTACCATAGTGTTCTATCTACATCATTATGTTCTGACTCTAGAACTAGGAGCAAACTGTCAAGAGACAGTACACTAACATTCAATTGACCAATAAGAGTGCAATATTGTCTGTATTAATATATAAAACTACTTTTAGTAGTATTTTTTTATGTGAAAAGTTACCAAGCGAGCAGACGGTTCACCTGATATTAAGTGAATACCGCCGCCCATGGACATCTGCTACACCCGAAGGTTTGTAGATGCGTTGAGAACCTTTTTGAAAATTGAGCCGTCGGTCTTCTGTGAGGTCGTCGTACGTACCCGGGCGAGCCTGCCCATTCGTGCAACAGCCAAGGCTGCTGCGTGGCTCTACCACCGTAAAGAATGTAGGATGTTTTAGTATAAAAAAATATAAATTATTAGCATTATTTTTAGGGTCAGACAGATCATCAACCAGTCGATTTAATATATGTATATAGATATACGGACTACAATATAAGTCTCTGTAAACAATATAAACTCCTGTAGGTGGCCTAAGCCCAGGACTGAAACCCCATTTACGACAGGGGGATGGTAATAAAGGTTTTTTATGATCATGCTAGTGACTCCGTAGCAAATAACGGTTGCGACATTAGCATATGGTACGTAAGACGGGGATTAAAGGTGGTGGAAAAGGATTAAACTCCAAGGGTGGTGCGTGCAAGTCCCGAGACATTACTCGAAGGGAGGAAAAAACACGCAAGCGGTACCGCCGAGCACGGATCTTGTTCCGGTTTTTAAGGCGTACGTTCATTTCAAGTAGCGATTTTATTTAATACTAGTTTCTCGCCCGCGGCTTTGCTCGCGTTGAAGCTATAAAATAAATATCTTTCAACCATTTACAACACTTTTTTACAATAAAAAAAATTTGCTTTTTCAGGCTCTAGACTATCTGTGTACCAAATTTCGAAAAGCGAGACAGACAGATAGAGTTACTTTCGCATTTATAATATTAGAATGGATTATAATCCACAAACATAAACGAATACCGCCTTCTTCCATAAAAGAAACGAGACAAAAAGCGCGCAGCTAATAAATCTCTATCGATAACTTACCATGTATTGTATTGTACCATTCGTATACAAATAAACCTAATATATTTTGTTTTATATTAAAATGTTTTCGTTTTCCAATTCTAGAGAATGTTACTAGCGGCCCCCACAGATGTTGCCCTGTACACACGCGATCCGACAACTTATTAATAAAAATATAATTAAAAGACATTTTGTAGTGGACCGAATATAAATAATTACTTTAATACCGTTTAGGATGAGTTCAGGCACATACACACGCACTGAAGAATATTTATATACATAAATATAATATACCTATGTATATGATTTATCGAATAGACTACCTGTTCATTCAAGTTTCGCTGAGCCGGATTGTTGCGTGCGAAAACTCATTTAATATAATATACCTATGTATATGATTTATCGAATAGACTACCTGTTCATTCAAGTTTCGCTGAGCCGGATTGTTGCGTGCGAAAACTCATTTACAGGTTTCGTTGTCGATATTAAGATTTCGTACCAAGCCATTCGCTGGATATTTATACTTTCGATGCCTCGATATAAGCGAAGCTTTTATGTTAAAAATAACTTATTAAACCTCTAACTTTTTACTATGGTCCTAATTAAGCAGATAAAGTTTACTTGTTACGGAAAGGCATAAGATTTTTTTAATTATGTATATCATTATTACTAGTGTTGGCGCTGGCAACACATACAGTGTTATAACGTTATATATGAGTGGATAACGTTATATTACCGGATATAACGTTATCCACTCGAGCCGAGTGGTCGCATGTAGCAGCGGTCACTTGGATTTCGGCTGCATTCCCGGACAGTGATACAACCACTAGTGCTACTTGTCGTTATAATAGTTAAAATATTAGAATCAAGGTAAAAACGTTAGAATTCTTATATCAGAAGTGGGATTCAATACGAAAACTCGCGTTTGGCTGTTGAAACAATCTGCGACATATTTTCTCCTTGGGTACCTACCCTCGTAAAATAAAACAGTGTGTTTTATACTTACTATACGTAATGGTGATAATATCTTTTGGTTAAATGTAACGAAAGTTTTTGTGAGTACCTTCCAGTTAATTAATTACTTATCACATTTGAGAAAATGTAAAATAGCGATACACAACTGGTTTACCCGGTTAAGCTACTGAGCATTTTAGTAGTTGGAAGAGTTAAAGCATGAAGAAATGATGATGGATATCCATCGTGAACACCATCACTGGTACTTAACGTAGCAATACACGACTGGTGTAACCGGTAAAGCCATCTAAGTTTGATAAATCATTGAAAACTGTGAACGTGGCGATATGCATCCCAGGTGTGAGGGATAAGCCACAGGCTAAGGTGTTCTGAACGTGGTGATATGCATCCCAGTTGAGAGGGATAAGCCATAGGGTAAGTGTTTTGAAAGTGGCGATATGCATCCCAGTTGAGAGGGATAAGCCACATGGTAATTGTTTTGATCGTGGCGATATGTATCCCAGTTGAGAGGGATAAGCCACATGGTAAGGTGTGTTAATTTTATGAAGGTTTCTTGTACCAGACTACAACGCCATTCGAGGTCGAAGGCGTGATGCAGGACGGCCGAATGTTGGCGCTGGCAACACTATACCGGATATAACGTTATCTACTCGAGCCAAGTGGTCGCATGTAGCAGCGGTCACTTGGATTTCGGCTGCATTCCCGGACAGTGATACAACCACTAGAGCTACTTGTCGTTATAATAGTTGTTAATATTCAAGTTCAGTAATAGTTAAAATATTAGAATCAAGGTAAAAACGTTAGAACTCTTATACTAGACCGAAAAAATAGACATTTTCCTCCAAAGATTTCGCAATTCTCACATAAGAATCTCACCTCACACTCCAGTTTAATGGTTATTACGTCACTTTAACGTTTTAACTTCAAACTGATGAAATGAATACGAATATACACGGACTTAAATGAAGAAAATTTTTCGCTTTAATCTCCGATTTCGACGAAAACGATGACATCATTGGTGCAGGTATCATACCAGACCGATCAAATGAAAACAAAACCT